CCCTAATTACTCTGTGACCTCTACAGCCCCTGAAATATGCAACCAGGCCCTGGAGAGCAGCTAGCCTGGGTTTAGTCACTGTTCTCTACTGAACGGTGTCTCTCCAACTTCCTATGCGGAAGCCTGAACTCACACGTGACTGCATCTGGAGACAGGCCTTGAAGGAGGGAAAATGGGGTTGTAGGGGCAGAGCGAAGCTCTAATCCCACAGGACTGTACAAGGCAAGAGACTGCGTGTGCCGTTGAGAACCCAGAGAGAAAGCAGGGAGGGAACCTCCCCTCTTACACATCCCAGAGCGGGAGGAAACGCCTCCTCCGTCTGCTGACACCCCCATTTGTGATGGTTTGTTACAGCCCAAGCCACTGAGATGGCATCTCAAGTCAGGCAAAGATGCAGGGCCATTAAAGGGATTTGCAAACACTGAGAGAGCCCAGGAAGCATCTTCAGAACCGCCAACTGCCCCTGCTGCTGATCAGATCCTGAGGCTCCTTCAGGGACGCAGACAATTCCCCACATTAAGAGCTTCCCAGCAACACCATTTTCCTCGCTTCTTTTGTGCATGTTTCTAGCTAGACCCAAAAGGAGCGCCGGCCGCCAGCCAGATCTTTATCCTGAATGTCAGGTAGACCTTTTATCGCTCTTTTTTTATTATTATTATTAAGGCAGCTGAGTCTTCTGCCTTTATCTCTCAAAGTGAGGCAGGGAGGATAGAGAAGAAAAGAAAAAAGTTACAGATTCCTCCCCAAGGAGACATCGTGCTTTTTTTCTACTGCTCCTGAAAGTGAGACATGTCAAGTCCTGCCGTCCCTCCGTCCTCAGACGGGAGTCTTCGGCTGTTCCCCGGCAAAACCAGAGCCGCCCAGGGTGAAAGTAGGTGAGCCTGGGAGGTGGTTTGCTCAGAGATGGAGCACTCTTTCCCAGATCGGCCCTCCTCCGGCAGCGGACACCCAGGCCTGCTACCTGTCCCCAGAGCCTTCCCTTCACTCCAGACTTTTCAGATAGCAGGGACAGAGCAGGAACAGAGCTGAGCGCCAGGCGGGACTGGTTTTCACGCCCGTAGGCCCCTCTGAGCCTTGCCTGGAAACAGTCCTCGTCTCAGTGGTGGGAGCTCTCCTGCTCCAGGCATACTTGGTCACCCCCCAGTTCAGAAAGGAGACGAGGGATCCGGACATCCTGAAGCTGGCCAGTCCGCGCAGCCCTGCAGATGGCCTGGGCCCTCTCCTCAGTGGGAAGTTTCGGATGGAGAAACCAAGCCAACTGCCTTAGACTCCGCGTCTCTGACAACCAAGGGCACCTCCTCTCAGCCTGGTCTCTGAGGCATGAAGGGAAACTATCATTTTGGTTCTTCTAAGCCAAGATGAGCTCACGGCAGGAGGTGATCGCACACACTAATTCTATGCTTTGCTAAGAGGTGGGGGTTTGGCAAGGCAGTATAGGCGCCTCTGAGCATGCGCAGAGGCAGAAGCTACACATTTTTCTGAACTCTCCCCCATCAAGGACCATTGCCTTGCTCTTGGATTAGCAATCAATCTCCATTACTGTTTTCTAGCTCAATCCTCTCTCTCTCTCTCTCTCTCTCTCTCTCTCTCTCTCTCTCTCTCTCTCTCTCTCTCTCTCACACACACATTTTTGAGGATGGTGAAAGAATGAGATTCCCAAGAAGTGTTCGGGAAGCCCCAGAGCTACTCCCAGTGATGCTTGACCAATCACAGTTCAGTGCTCGAACTCGGTAGCGCCACACCCAACATTGCTTTAGGTCCCTCCTGGGTGGAGGCACCTAGGGTGATGGTTGAGGGTCCATGTGGAGTCAGGGATCAAGCTCAGATCTCTGTGCCTACCAGGCATGATCTCCTGACCGCAGGGCCATTTCCTTGCTCTTGAATGGTACTTTACTGGGATTTTAGTTTTTCTAATACTCGATGATCGGTATAGACTCCCTCCTACGCCCGTGCTCAAGGATCACTTCGGGTGGTACATGGGATAACATAGGTGGCACTGGGGGTCAAATCAGAGTTGGCTGTGTTCAAAGCAAATGTCTTAACCCTTTCACTATCTCTCTGGTCTCCTCCTATCCAGTAGTGAGTGGTGAGGTGAATATTTCACCTGCCACCTTCCAAGAGTTAGATTGAGGCAAACCACAGCACATCAGGCTCAAAGGAATGAAGTCACTTCTATTCAGCCATTTTCGCCTTACATAAAATCATATGCAACCAAACTGCTGGGTCCCTTCGGGCCTACAAAAATGGCTCTTTTCACAGGACTCACGCTAAGAATTCAAATATAACTGAATCAAGCCTCGTTTGTGAGACAACCATAGGGTTGATTCCTTCCAAATGTGCTTGTATAATGCCGCTCCCTCGGTGATATTCCACCAATGGATTTCTACCATCTAAATAATTTAAAAATACCATTATCATAAGTTAACTGTAAGAGCACTGTTGAGTTTGCATGCTTTTTTGAGAACCCAAATTTGGATTGGAAGCAGACTCAGATTCTTTATTTATGCTCATGACTTGCTCTCTGTTTCTCTCTGCCTGTCTGTCTCTCTCCTAATTCCATTCCTACTGTGGAGTAGGAGCAAAGGGGCCCCGAGGCCTTGAGGTCCTTGGAGTGACCCCACAGACCTTGCCCAGAGAAGGTCGTGAAACGCTTCAGACAGGCAGAGATTTCAGGTCTGGTGACTCATTAGCCTGGATTCAGGCTCAGTTCCAGGTCCCTTGCCCCACAGATGGAGGAGGTGAGGCGTGTTTTAGAGAAGCTAGCACTGTCTGGACATGCACCCCTGGCTTTTCCTGTTATCTCTCTGGGATAATTAGGGCCAGTGACCTAACACAGTAGAGTGTGTTAGGTCAGATCCGTCTAAGCCCACAGCAAGTATGGTGAGGTTGGCATCATTCACCAGAAAGACGAACCAGTCAGGTTCCGGGCTCAGTGACTCACTCAGCACGGCAGAATTGGCAGCAGATGGAGAGAGAAGAAGGCAAACTTGAGACCCTTGTGCTTGCTTGGGGGCGGGGGGGCTGCCTCTTCCCTGTCCTCCCCCACCCTCTCCCATTCGATCATGTCACCATCATCAGATCCTGTCCCACGGGACTCTGAAATCCTCTACCATGCTCAGTGCTGGCGCTCTAACGTGAGCCCAGGGTCACGCCTGTGCCCTCTCCCCCCCTCCCCCCAGTCTCTCCCTAGCCATGCCATGTGCCTCCAATTTGTTCCCAGTAGTACATCCTGATTGACTGTGATTGGCAGTAAACCAATCACATGGTTTCCTGGCAGTAAACCATGTCATAACCCAGTTTTCGAAGCTGCTTCCCAGTCATCATTACCTACAACCCTTGTCCCCAGCTCCTATCTACACCCCCACCTTCCTCCCAGCCTTTCTATTGCTCCAAGCACCCAAGGCCTAGCAGCCCGACTCCTGGGGCTTATGCCCATGCTGCTCAGGGAATCTAGAGGGACTTTTGAAAATAGGGTCCATCCACCAATTAGTTCTCCAAAAACAAGTCGTCTGTCTCCCAAGCCCAGTACCAGGCTCTGTTCCCGGGAGTGGTGTTGCCATCTCTTCAGATCTATAAGCAATTTGCTTTAGCTTTCCTTTCCCTTTCATTGTAATGCAAGTGTCTGATTCAAGCTTTTGATTGTGAAGGCCTGACCTTCAAAGAGGCCTGTTTAGTGGGGACGGCGTTGTCCTTGCATGATGCTGGTCAGGTTTGATGCCCAGCTCCCCATATGCTCGAAGGCGAGCACCTCCAGGAGTGATCCCTGAGTGCAGAGTCTGGAGTGTGGCCCTGAACATAGCCGGGTGTGGTGCAAAACCCAACAAACAAACCAAGAGGGATGTTTGGATGAGGAGCTTCCCTTCCCATTACAAAGTGCCCTGTCTCTGGCTTTGAACAAAACAGCTTTCTCACCAATAACGACTAATAAGCCTGAACACGCAGCCTGGGTTCCAGTACTAGGGAAAAAGTCAGGGTATCCTCTAGGGAAAACCCCCTTTGTTTCAGAGATGTCTGTTGAGCTTTGATAGTGGACACGGATCACTGTCACTGTCCTCCCGTTGTTCATTGATTTGCTCGAGCGGGCCCAGTAACATCTCCATCGTGAGACTTATTGTTACTGTGATTTGGCATATCGAATACGTCATGGGTAGCTTGCCAGGCTTTGCCATGCGGGCGAGATACTCTCGGTAGCTCCCCGGGCTCTCCGAGAGGGAGTGGACACAGACAATGGATGTAAATGATGTGGCCGTATCTACTCTGGATGCTGAGAGTGATAAACTTCTGGTAGTGAGGGCTGAGCGGGTTCTATAACCAGAGTGAGAACAAGGCTGGCTGGTCCAGTCACCACACTGGTTCCTACAAAATATGGATATGTCTGCGGAGGAAGCTTGCGGGATACCCAAGGTTCTCTGCTCCCGTTTCTAACCTACTGTACGCTATCAGTAGTCAGAGACAAGCTCTGCAATCTCTCCTTGGCAATCCTCAGCTCTTCCTCTTTAGATTCACAGGACTTTGCCCGCCGGCTTGGTTGAATGAGAGCTAGCTGTTGAGATGGTCTCTCTTTCTTCTCCTGATAATGAGTCGCAGGGGATAAAGATCAGCTTGGGTTTGTCTCTGTCTGGCCAGCATATAGGAAAGTGGTGAGCTCAAGGATAGAGCCTGCACGTTTTTTCCTAATAGTACAGATCCCACGTGGTCTCTGATCCCACCAGCGTTTCTGAGACATTCATGCAGTTACAAAGGACTATGGGAATAAGATGCTTTCGTTCTAATCCCGTTCTTTTCTCGTTCAACGGCCGAGTGGCTGTATCAGCAGGGTGTACACTGATCTGGTTTCAGTCCCCTTGCTTATATAAAGTGCATGGGGATAGGGTAGGGGACACATCGGCGTGTTCTTCTGGGACTCACCCCAGTGGTGCAAAGAAGGTGACAGCTCGCCCCTAAGAGGATCTCTTCTTCTCCCCAGGAGCTGACTTTCCCCCACCTCTTTGAAGAGAGTCATGGCGTACAACCAGAGCACCCCCATCATCAAGTACAACGGCCAGGACTTCCACTCCTTGCGGGATCAGTGCCTTAGCAGAGGCCAGCTCTTCGAGGATGACACCTTCCCCCCCACGCTGGCCTCCATAGGCCCACTGCTGCTGAAGGGAGAGAATCTCTCCCGCCTGGAGTGGAAGCGGCCACATGTAAGTGAGCCCGGGACATACTCCCCGGGGCCCTCCATGCCCTGGTTGCTCTTGTCTCGGGGCCTCCCATGACAGGAACCTGATAACTGGCTTCCAGGCACAGGCAGAATAGAAGGAGAAGGGGATCCATCTGGGCCTTCTGCTCACAGGACTGTGTCCTCAGTGGAACAAATTGCTCAAGAGGAAAACAGGATCCCATATTCTTAGTCAGTCCTCGCACAGACCACATGAGTAGCTAACATGCCTCAGTATTCTCATCTACAAATGGGGCACAGAGAAATGAATCAGCTCAGCGTGGATGCCCCGGGGTTCTGTCCACCACTGAGTCTGTTAATGCTCTTTATTCTGCTCCAGTCTCACCATCTTGACAGCTTTCTCTTTCCTATTAGAATTAACTCCATGGGAAGGTGTTTAACCACGGAGACCTTAGGACAAATACAAACAATGGCCTCACATACCTTCGCATTTTTACCCATATAAACGCATGACCGCCTAGAGCAGAATTTCAGACATCAGCTGTCAAATTAAGGAGATGCAGAACGGCACTAAAACCCCCTGATTCTCTGGGCCCCCTCGGGTCGCCAGAAACTCAGCCTTGCAGTGAGCTAAGTTCTGTGGGCTTCCTAGAAAGGTCTCACTCTCAGGGCACAAAGTCCCTAGTGAATGTTTCAGCCCACTGGAAGTCTCCATCAACCCGTGGGGTTTCCCTGCCCTAATCTGGACGGAAGCACTTGAACCCCAGTGCCTGGTCCCTCCTGTCAGTGCTCCTGGAAAGGTCAGAAGAGCCTTGAACCAGAGAAGACAATATAAAGCCAAAAAGGCAGATGGTCACTGATGCAGAGCAATGCCTAGGACCCCCGGGTACCGCCCATGGAGTCAGGTGAGGGTACAGAAAAAGTAGTTTTCTGATAACGATGAGGATATAGAACCCTGGAAGCATCAGCTCTGACCCCAATTTGGGATAGATTTGGAGCTTTGGGGAAGTCAAGCGTTAGTGGGGCATCAGGAAGGGGTGGGGGGCTGGGGATGTTGCTTTAAAAACTGGAGCTACTTTAGCTAATTTCTATCTTACCAGCCAAAGACAATAATTCCTCAGCAATGACACTTGACCTCTGCCTCGTAAGGAGAGCAGGGCAGAGCATGAGATCTGCACTCTGAAGCGTGAACGGGTCTATTTCTTCCCTCCGTTATTTTCAGAAGCTAAGACTCTTTTAGAATGTGGTGGTGGTGGTGTTTGGGGGGGGGGGGGGGCGGTGTTCCCCTCCAAGGTGCTGAGCAATAAATGTGAAACCATATTAATAGTGTGGAAGAATTTATAACGTTTCTATTTAGAACGGGTTGAGAGTTTCTTATTATCTAAATCCAGCAACATCTCAACTTGTGATGTCTTTCGGGGGCAAGAAGAAACAGATTTGAACAGAAGTGTAATATCTTCACCGAACCATGCCAGAAACCTAAAATAGAGGCAGCCAGGGTGGGTTGTGTTCATTCCTTTCTCTTCTCTCCTGTGAAACCTCACTCCAAATCTTTCAGGGAACTGTAGTCTCCTTCCTGCACCTCTGTTACATGGCCTGTAGCTGTGTCCCACTTATGTCTTCATGTCCCTCATCACAGCTGGAAACTTTGTACAGAGAATTTTCTAGAACATTCTGTGTTGTGTCTTCTCTTCTTTTGTCTCCTTTGTTCTTTGCCAATGCAGTCAGGCCATGTGACTGACTGGATCGGAGGAGACCGTGTGTGTGTGTGTGTGTGTGTGTGTGTGTGTGTGTGTGTGTGTGAGAGAGAGAGAGAGAGAGGAGAGAGAGAAAGAGAGAGAGAGATAAAGAAAGAGAGAGAGAGACAGAGATAGAGACAGAGAACTGGATTTGAATCCTGACCCCCTATGCCTCACTTTGCCTCCTTGTGGAGTGCCCTGCCCACAGGACTCTATCAGAAATAGGGTGACCACACATGTGAGCAGTTGGATGGAGGAATGAATGACTCTCCACCACTGCCAGGCATGGAATCCCACGCATGCAGTAGAGGATCTTCATGGAGGAGGAGGAAGGGTGAGCAGCAATGGGTCCCACACGCACCTTGGAAGGGGCATCAGGTGCCCTCTGGCACTGGTTGGAGTGGCTGACCCGTGGGCCTGGCTTAAGTACCCTCATTCCATGAGCCTCACGGTGACCAGTAACTCTCCGGGTAAGACCAGCATCAGCCTCACTTTGCGGATGAGAATTGGAGCCATCTTGGAGGTCTTGCCTCAAGTGACAACCTGCCGTTGTACCTCTCTGTCACCTATTTCAGGGCTTCTGTTGTTACAAGTACTCAATGGGCCTCTTCAACCTTCTTCTGCAGCTGGAACCATGACACCCAACTTTCTCTCTCTCTTCCCTCTCTCTCTCCTCTCTCCTCTTTCTCTATATCTCCTCCTCTCTTCTCTCTCCTCTCTCCTCTCTTCTTCTTCTCTCTCTCTCTCTCTCTCTCTCTCTCTCTCTCTCTCTCCAGTCTTTGTCTTTCTATCCATTTTCTTGTGTGCCTAGGTCCTGCCTTTGTAAGGCTGACTATTGTCCCCTATGCCTTGCAGGACTATTTGAAGGGACCAATGAGGCTAATTTCCAGAATAGTGTCTGGACACTGAGACACCTACTGAAGCCCCTTTTCTTCCTGACCACTTGGGGGAGGGATGGCCCAGCGTAGCTCACCCAGGACCTACCCCTTCTCTAGCTTTCACAGACCAATTCTCTCATCTTTGATCCTCGGATCATTTCTGCAGATGCACTTAGGGCAGTGTGGGGAACAAAAAATCATCTGGGGGTACACGGGAGTCTGACAAAGAGTTCAAAAGTCATCTATCTTCTTCCTCTTCTTCCCATCTTTTTTATTTGGGGGGGGGGGGGTCACATGCAGCCATGCTCAGTGCTTACTCCTGGCTCTGTGCTCAGGGATTACTCATGCCAGGGCCCAGGGGACCACATGGGATGCTGGAGATCCCTTCTGCCTAGCTCTGACTTGAGAAAGTAAATCTGCCTGACACATCATCCATGCAACCCTGCAGCAACTGGCTGGCCCCAGTCTCCTCTCCATCGTGGGTATCTCTAGTCACCTGGGAAGCCCAATAGCATGAGACAGACCACAAGACCCCAGCGGTAGAGCAGCGAATCTCAAACACTGGACCTAGATCCCTTGACACCGTGGGATGGGAACATCATGGGACACGGGCCAAAGAGCACGGTGGGACCTGAGACAAGAACATACCTGCTTATACTTTAAGATAAAGAAAGGACTGTGAGTCCCCAAATCATCTGGGATTCTAAGCATGGATTTCACACATACCTCCCAGAGGACCTACCCCCAAAGCTAGCCAAAACACTCTCTGAGACTGGGAGCTAGCTGATATTACTCCTTCATGCAGTACATTTTCACCACCCAGTAGAATATTCTGCCCAGACAGCTCGGTTCAACCTTTATCATAATAGAGTGTCATTGAAAAGCCGTGGCTGTTGGGCTCTTCCATGGTTGCAAGTCTGAGTGAGGAATAGATGCTGACGCTTTATTTAAGTTCATTTTCATTGAAATGCCACAGCCATATAGGTCAACGGAATTGTAGGCGCTGCTCTTCTCAGCCGTCACCAATGTTTGTCAGACGGAGGAACTGTATTGTCATCTCCGCTCCTACTCTCCAAGAGAAAAACATTTCTTCCCAGGGAAGAATGGGCTGCAAGCCCAAATAGGCTATGAGCACCCGGAGCAGAGTAACCCGGCCCCACCGCAGACTCCAGCTCCTGCTCAGCCCACAAGGAAGCCTGACCAGTCCAGTCAACGACTTCCTTCTTCCAGGTCGCCAGAGCAAAGCCTAGGAAAAGACTGAGCTCTGGAAATCATGCAACCTCGGGACTGAAATGAGCTTTCAGAAAAGCGCTGAGTTAATGAAGGGTGCCTGGAGTGTGGGCAGCAACGGCAGCGGGTCACACCAGGTAACACAGGCCGACAACTCATTGCCACCAAGTCAAAGACCTTTGATGCCAATAAAGCAAGACTCTCTAGTAGTACAAAGCAGGGCATGACCCTGGCCCGGCCCCGCCTGGAGTCCAGCCAGCTGAGACTCCTGTGCCAGAGGCCAAGTAACTTCTCTGGGTCTGCAACCGAGAGCAGCAAGTGTTCTGGGAAAGCACGTATGTAGGCCGTCGAGGAGGAGGAGAACGCAGGATTTGCCGTCCAATAGCTCCAGAGGAGAAGATTCCAGGCGCTCTGCGTGACATGAACCCTGGCAGACCTAATCAAAGAGCAATTATGTCTAATATCACAGTGCTCGCCCCAAGCTTGGTCTTTAGAGAAGGTTCCACCCTCCAGAGTAAAGTTGCCAAGATGACTTCATTTCGCCCCTGCTAGCGGCCTCCACGCAGGCAAAGGATCTCCCTCTATAAAGCAACATATCTGTGGAGGCATCTCTGGCTGTTTTGTGATGAGGAGCTGGTTCTGGTGATTACAGAGGCTGAGAAGCCCCCCAACTGCTGTGTGTAAGCTGGAGACCCTGAGAGCTGAAAGCACCCAGAGCCAGGGCAGTCGGGGGTGTGATTCCCAGCCTGAGGACGGGGCACACGAATGTCTCAGCTCAGCAGCCAGGCAGGGAAGCAGAATTCCTCCTCCCTCTGCTGTTTGTGGGATAAAGACCCTCAAGGGAGCACATGGGCCCAAGCACCTCCTTACTGGAGAGGCACATGGGAACCTCCCTTGCACGCAGCAAGATCACCTTGGTTTAATATTTGGGCACTGGGCCTGGAGCGATAGCACAGCGGGTAGGGCGTTTGCCTTGCACACGGCTGACCCGGGTCAATCACCAGCATCCCATATGGTCCCCCGAGCACCGCCAGGAGTAATTCCTGAGTGCATGAGCCAGGAGTCACCCCTGTGCATTGCCGGGTGTGACCCAAAAAGCAAAAACTAAATAAAATTTAATATTTGGGCACCCAGGATCTAGTCAACTTGACATCAACTAGAGCACCCCCACTTCTCTCTCCAGCTGGCTGTCCTTGTGCTCTACCTGGGCAAGCCTGTGTCCGGAAGCCTAGGGGTGCTGAGGCCACATGCTCCTCTCCACTGAGTGGATGCGGCAAGAGGAATGCCCACATGGCCGGGCTGCCCGCCTTTCGGTCTGCTGGGAGCCTGGAACAAGTAGTTCAGCTCCTCTGAGTCTGCTCCCTCACTTGGCTGGGGCAGGTAAACCCTGAACTTCAGCACGTTACAGGGGGGAGTTGGGCCCCGCAACTCTCATTGGGAGGCCTCCGGGTCTCTCTTGGTGAGTGAAAACTGCCCACAGCCACCCTCATCATGATGCCTTCCTTGCCCTGGGGAGCTGAGTCCATGGCAACAGGGTACCAGAGCTTGTCCTTCTGCCCAGGGTCTTCCCAATATCCTCTGTGGGTGTCCCACAGCTTCGAAATACAGTTCTTCTATGTGTCCTTTTTGTCTTGTCCTTCCTTGCTGTTTTCAGGATTAGTTGGGGCATCTCAAAAGCCTGGAGTAGGGAAGGAACAGGCCTAGAGAATAAGAGACATAAATGATTCTAACAACGCAGGTCTTGTCCATACAATTGATGGAAGTCTCAAAGTAATTGCCATGCAAGTTTAATGCCATTAAAATATGGGGTTTGTCCTTCGCTGGCTAAATTTGTTTTCTTTTTTATTTTAATGCTTGTTATTTGGGTGAATCAGAGCAAGCTGATAAATCAAATGCCTTCAGAGCATTCATTGGAAGACTGTAAATCATTCCTGGGGCTCTTCTGTCAGAGATTCTATATTATTAACTATCCTGAGATGGTATCCACCCTGATGTACCACATTTCTAAGATGAGACTTACTTGACAGTGGGTTAGTGTTTTTTATTTACTGTCAGTTCCTTTCCTGGGTATTTTTATTTCAGAATATTTCCACAAGTAAAATCTGGTGTGTGTGCATGTGTATGTGTGTGTACATATATGCTCATGCATGCATGTGTGTATGTGCATGCGTGTTTGTGTGTGAATGTGTGTGCGTGTGTGCATGTGCTTGTGTGTGTATTCTCTTTCTCTGGTTGGATGTCCAGGCTATATTGGCTTCCTAAAATAAATGATGCAGATTCTTCTTCTTTGTTTTAAACACGAAAGCTGTAGCAACAAAGACCTAATTCATTCTTTAAACTTCGAGAGAATTCGGTAGGAAGAGTTTGTGTCCTTAGAAGCTTTGGCTGAGATGTTAGAGGGACTATATTTGATGATTTAAAATGATATTGCAAGGTTATTGATCTTTTAGGTTATTACTATTGTGAATCATCTTTGTCTGGGTTCGTGTTTTTTCTTTCTCAGAAAATATCAGTATTTTTAAATTGATTAGCATAGACTTTTACTCCATGTTTTATATTGCCAAAGCCCATGTGCTTTCTCTACCATATTTTTCAAAGTTTCGATCGGTGTAAGCTTCCTTTCCCAAACAGAATGATGCATTAGCTTGTTGATATTGGCATTCTTCTATTTCAGACGGTGCTAATTGTTTTCTTTATCACTTCCTTCCTCGTATATTGGTAAAGGCTCTTGTTGTCTCTCTTTGCATCCATGACTTGAGTGGCTAATTAATGTTTTTGCTCTCTCTGGTTTAATAATGAAAGCCTTTGAGGCTCTTGCTTTGACTGCGGGTAGGTCTTCTGAATTTTACAAGTACCGCAGAGAAGGGGAGCAGTGCTCACGGAGCATGCGCCCTGCCCAACTCTGCACTGCTCTTCCTCTTCTACCTCCCGTTTGCGAGGGAGGGATCCAGGCTCTGCCCGTCAGGAGCAGATGCCTGGCAGAACGGCTTCCCAGCCTTCGCAGCTACCCCTTAGATAAGAACTGTGCCCTGGACACACAGGGAAACACAGGCCTGACTGGAAGAGAAAGTTGGTCAGAATCAGGGAGATGAATGCCGGGTAGGATTCTGTCTGGCTAACCCCCCAGCAGGGGAAGAGCCAGGGGTAACAAGGTCATAGTTACCAGCCTGGGGAAACGGGTTCATAGTTCCTGCTTTAGCCCAGCGCCCAGGCTACTCCCTCCCCTCTGCTTCTCCATGTGGAGTCTGCAATGGCCCTTCACCTCATTAGCTGGATGCCTCCTTTCCCCAGGAGACAGGTGAGTCTCTGAGAGCTGCTCACTGATCACTTGTCCCTTGTCATCCTGTTGCTCATCAATTTGCTCGAGCAGGCACCAGTAACATCTCCATTGTGAGATGTTGTTGTTACTGTTTTTGGCATATCAAATATGCCACGGTAGCTTGCCAGGCTCTGTTGTGCGGGCGGGATACTCTTGGTAGCTTGTCGGCCTCTCCTAGTGGGATGGAAGAATCGAACCCGAGTCAACCTTGTGCAAGACAAACACCCTACCCGCTGTGCTATCGCTCCAGCCCAATCCTGAGAGCTGTTCAGCATCCCCAAATGATCATCCCAGAGAGGTACTTTCCCCTGACCTGCTACCCACAGAGAAAATTCTGTCTGGCTAGTTTGTTTTGAGAGACCCTGCCAAGTCCCGCACAATGGGTAGAGCAGAGAGTAGCATGGGGCCTCCAGGACTCAGCCCCTCTCCCGGGACACTCGGGGCTGGCAGGCACCTCCTGGCCATCTGAGGTCAGTTTCAGAGGAGCAGAAGGAGGGGATGACCCTTCACCGGGGAGCCGGGCACATATGTTGGTAAAGAGGCACACCTGTTTGTCCTGCTGAATCACCCCAGGAAACTGCCCTTTGGGAAGCGTTGGCAGGTTTCAGGGTTTCCCAGACACTCAGAACTGAGGAGCGGAGGCTTTGTTTTCACCTGGCTACCCTGCTCCCTGGGGCTGCTTTGTCAGCAAAAGGGTGTGAGTCTGGGCCCAAGAGCACCAGCAGGGATGGTGGCAATCCAGCAGGTTTCCCTTATGGATTGACGGTGTGAGGTGCTGACCCTGAATGGTGGGAGGCCAGGGAAAGAGCCAGACTCTGGACCATGTGTTCCTGCCAAGTGCGTAGGGATCCCCTGAAGTAGCTCTTACCATTCTCAAGTCTGCTGGGAGAGCCCCAAACTCTCCACAGACACTGCAGAATCTTGCAGTTGCTCCTCTTTGGGGCTGCAGGTGTGGTGGATGTGTGTGTGTGTGTGTGTGTGTGTGTGTGTGTGTAAGGTGTGCAGGTTTTAGAACCCAGACAAGGGTCCTGGGAGCCAGCCAGGGCTCCTACCCAGCACCAGAGCTGGACTGGAGCAGGGAGAATGCTTCAGCTGCCCTCTAGCTAGATGCTTCCCAGAGGGTTTTCACACAGTGCTCCCAGACTTTGTGTGATCCTTATGGATATTCTCCTCTTAAAGCACTGCCAGCTGAGTGTGTGAAGTCAGGCCCGAGTTCTTCTCTGGGTTCTCTCTCTTCACATAGTTTGCCTACCCAGGCAGATCGTCTAGTCTGTCACATACACCCTCTTCACAATAGCATGAAACCTGAAGAGTGAGTTGAACAAGGCTAATTCAGGCATTTAAATTATCTATTTACAGAGGGAAGGGGAAAGGGAGAAGAGACAGGTGCGAAGCAATGGCAGCAGGGGTCAAGGGGACTCAGGTACATCGGTGTGTCAAGGAATGACAGAGCTAAATATCCACACCAGAGTCAGCAATGCTGAAATTGCAAGACCCACGCTTTAACAACCAAACTTAAAAGGTGCCTGTCAACGCGGCAGACTGGAGCTAGGGGCAGGAGCACAGGAGAGGGGACCTGGGAACACGGTGGAGGGAAGTCGAAACTGGTAGTGGGATTGGTCATGGGACAGTGCATTAAAAAAAAAAACCCAACTATGAATTACTTCGTGGTTCATGGTGCTTAACAAAATAAGATTGGGGAGGGAGGGGGCTTCTAAGTAATGTTCAGGGAGCCCAGGAAAAAAATGACGTTCATCCATATAACTTCTAAAAAATAGTTATATAACTTCTAAAAAGTAGTTGCCAATTTACAAGTGAACTGGTACTCCTCAAAGACAAGATGAGTCATGTCTTAGGTACCAGCCATAATTCTCTCTGTCTGTCTGTCTCTCTGTCTCTCTCTCTCTCTCCCCCTCCCAGGACTTATCAAAAGGGGCACCCTACTTCATCCTGAAAGGTGTGAGCAGATTTGACATCCAACAAGGAATGGCAGGTAAGAACCCTACCTCTTCCCTCTTGGCTATGGGTCAGGCCAGGCTGCCTGAAATCTGCCTCTGAGGAGGGATATTGGAGGATGCTATCTACTCACCTTCACCATTGCCACCATTACCACCAGTACAACCATCATCGCCTCTCCCACTATCACCACCACATTACCGTAAGCCTCAAGGTCACCTCCCAATCAGCAACACCAATATAAATACCACCATCACTATATATAACCATCATCACCACCCCTGCCAGTACCACCATCACTACAGCATCACCAACACAACCATCACTCTCACCATCACTTCCACCCTGCCGGCACCATCACTGCCATCACCATAACCACCATCACTAACACCATTGTTACCACCCCACCTGCATAGTTTCTCTCCCAGCTCCAGAGCTGGCGAGGTGGCACCCTGGGTACCACTGTGGGTAGTTGCAGATGCCCAATCAGTTTCAAGCCAGCCCATGGTGGGTGTACAGAGTCACTGGGGATGAGGAATGGTGAGCAAAATGGAGGAAATGGACTCAGGGTACAGTGCGGAGCAGAGAGGAATACCAGTGGCTAGAGGAGAGGAAGGAGAGAGATCAGAGAGATAAGCAAGTGCCTTTGGAGCTGCTATAATGTCTATGCAGACACTGAAATTGCTACTTCTTCTATGCCTTAAAAGATCCCAGTTCCAGATATGTTCAATGGGAGAGTCCGAACGATAAAAGCTTTTCGTTTAGAAAGTGATGAGTTGTGATAGAACCAGGGCTAGAGGTTATCTCCCATCCACTGGACAGCCAAGTGCTGATTTGTTGCTCAAGACTGAGGAATGCGGACTGGATAAGATAAGTCAGCCTGGGAACACCTATAGCCAAGTAAAACTGCTGGCCAGAAGCCTGGCAGGGCAGGACTAGGTGGACAGGGAAAGGAGACAGACAGAAAACTGAGATAAGGAGGAATAGTAATATGATAAAATAGAACAATTCAATACAAGATGAATAGCACCTCCTCTGAGAGCAGATGTAAATTTTGGGTTCACAAATCAGACCCACACTTGGCCTTCATCTGGTAGAATCAACTTGGTCTCTTGGGCCAAGTCGACAGAAGCCTAGATAACTTGTTTTCAGTCTCAGAAAATGTACCGACCAGCCAAAAATAACCTTCCAAGTGGGCTCTCCCCTACCTAGAGAAAGGGCCTCTCTGTGGCTTTTGTACTCTACATTGAATATGGCCAAAAATGGCATTTCAGTAATTGATTGATTGAAGGTGAAGGGCGGGAGATGAGGAAGGGGGTTAAGCATGCTCAGAACAGGGCACCTGCGAGAAGTCAAGGCACCTGGTCACCAAGGAGAAGGAAGAGGAGAGACCCCTGTGTGCTTAGTGATCGGGTAAACATTAGCCAAGAGACCCACAAATCTGTTTTCCCCTTTGCAATGAAAACCTTTGCACCAATGCTGGCAGTGAAATTCACTGACAGTAGCGTTAAATTTCTCTGGCAAAAACAGGAATCAGAAATCAAGTGGGTTCATCAGTTCTGTTGAAACTGGGGAATCTCTGCTCTTTCTCAGTACCCCACAACACGAACCACCGCCACCTCCATCACTCCTATCTCCACCACATAGCATCACCACCACTGTCATCCTTACTACCATCACCACATCCACCAGCACCTCCACCGGTCCTATCACCTGCACGTCACAACCATGATTTCTCCACCAAAGCTACTCACCACCATCATTACCACTACACGGCATCCTGACCCCACCCACCATTTACCACTGCCCTCACCGCCATCATTCTAACCACCCCTTCTCTCTCATGCTCGAACCCGGCTTCAGTGACTAGTCCCCTAGTTCTCCAAAGACAAGGAAAATGCATTATTCAATTTGAGTGGTCAATGCCTGTGGGATGCATGTCATGAAACTCCCAGCTCTGTCACATTGACTTCTCCTGGTTTGTGGCCCTCCCCCTCACAGGAGACTGCTGGTTCCTGGCTGCGCTGGGCTCCTTGACACAGAACCCAGAGTATCTGCAGAAGATCCTGATGGAGCAAAGCTTTTCCTATAACTACGCAGGGATTTTCCGTTTCCGGGTACGTGTACTCTGGGACACTGGCTTTTCTGTGTTCACAGGAAGGGGAAGGTCTGGAACATTCTCTCCCTCTGGAAGCCTGAGATGGGAGAGCTAATTAAATGTTAACTTACTCTTACGTTTTTTTCAAAAAGGAATTTGTTGAGCTGGTGTTCTGACAACATGGTGGAAAGTGAGAGTTAAAATGCTTTTTTTTAATGTGTAAATACAAGAAAAGACAGAAACAATTAGCAGAGGGAAAGACTTATCGATCAGGTACCAAGTCTCTCATTGAGTTTTTATTAGGCATTTCTGATTATTTCCATGTAGGATCTGTAGGAGGTGTTTCAGCATCTGATAGCGTAGGTCCTCTTTCCAATTGATTGCTGTTTTTTTTTTTTTTCAAAAATATCTTGCTAATCCTTGGGTACTTTTCTTATTATCAGAATTTAAAAATCATATGTCTAATTAAAAAGAAAAGCCTCAGTGCTGTGAAGTGGAACCGAATTAAATTTCTCTTGAAATTGGAAACAAATTATGATTTTATTATTTTTATTATGATTATTCCTTTTAAGAAATGTGGTGTGTATTCTCACTTACTCAGAACTAGCTTTATCCCCTTTGATAAAATGTTATAGCTCTATTTTCTTGTTGACTTTGCACCCTGCTTGGTGTAGGAATTCTATAATATTTTATGATTGCGCTGCTAAAATGAGCAAGGTTTCCCCCCTTAATTTTAACAAGCTGGTGCCAAAAAGAAGGCCAAGTCTTATTGTTTACTTGACTGTATCTAGCCACCATACTAAACTCAATAAATTCTATTTTTTTTCTGTATTAGACTCTGGGTGTTTTCATAGTTATCGAAATATTGGTAAATTTTAAAAATAACCATACATTTTTTCATTATTTTTAAAATATTTTTTCCATTATTTTACCTTGTCACAGTACTTAGCACCTCATAATTCTGCATTAGAGTCACAAGAGCAAAATCCTGCTCTTCTGATTTTTTAAAAAGCACCTTATGGTATGCCGTGCTTTTAATGCACTGTTGAATTCAATTTGCTAAAAATTTCATTATCATTTTTGCATCTCTACCCTATGTGGAATTGGTTCTAGTTGTTTATACTATTTTTATCCTGTTTGAGTTATGCCAGCTTTTAAAGCTAAACCCAATGAGCTTTTGACAATTTGACCTGAAATCATTTTTTAAATTTTATTTTTTTTATTGAATCGCCATGAGATAGTTACAAAGCTTTCCTGTTTGAGTTTCAGTCATGCAATGATCAAACACCCAACCCTCCACCAGTGCACATCTTCCACCACCAATGTCCCCAGTATTTACCCATCCCACTCCTCCCCCTGCCTCTATGGCAGACAATCTCCCCCATATTCTCTTTTGTTTTGTTTTTTTATCACGTATTTATATATTTTGAATACCCATTCCCTCCACCAGTGACCATTTCCCACCACCGCGGATCCCAGTATCCCTCCCACCCCCCACTCCACCCCCCAACCCACCCTCCCTCTGTGGCAGGGCATTCCCTTTTGTTCTCTCTCTCCTATTGGGTGTTGTGGTTTGTATAAGAGTTAAGCCTGATTTTCAGGGAGAAACGTTGGATGATTTACTTTCCATTGATCACTTTGTATAAACGGAGATGTCACGCGGCCGCATAAGCGGCCACATGGTTTGGAGGAAAAGTCCTAGTTCCCGCATACTTGAGCTATGCTTGTAGAGCGCCCCCCCCCCCCCCGCGGCCTTTCTTCTCTGCGGCTGTGTGCTGTCCCCATATTCTCTTTTGGATCGTTTGTTATGAATAGCAGAAGATGTCGTGCAGCCGTGAGAGCCGCTGCGTGCTCCTAGAATTCTAAAATTTTAGATAGTTAGGGTCTGGAGATATCTCTCCAGCGAGCTGCTCGATTTGGAGATTTTTTGGTGTGTCTCTGGATTATGGCTGTTAAGGAGTTTAAGTAGCAGCTGAAGGCAGTTTGTGGGCGTGACCTCCAAGGTCCCATGGGGACAGGCCCATCCCCTATCCCTTGAGGCCTGAAGTTTGCTGTCACTTAACTTGTGTACCTGAACTTCTCATTGGGTTCTGGAAGTTGGCAGCCTCCAGGGCTTTTAGGGGGCAGATGGGGGCACTATGCCTGCCCCTGTTTGAGGCACCCAGTGAAGTCGGCCTGGCTTAAAGTCTGAAGGCATCTCTGCAGCGAGCTGCTTGGTTTGGAGATTCTTTTGTGTGTCTCTGGATCATGGCCCTAGTTTCCATCTTTTCCAGAGAAATAAACTATTGGCATATGCCTGGCAGGGCACGCCTGCTAGCCCAGACTGCGGCTTTTAATCTCTTTCAAGATTTACGGGTCTCTGAAATTAGGCCAATCAATGAGCTTGTATAGCTGAGCAGAAGGTGGTTTGTGGGTGTGGCTCCCACATACCTAACTTTTAGCTGTTCAATTTCTTGGTAAACTTGGCCCCAAGATGTTGGGGTCCGGCCAAAGAATCAGAGGCAATTTGGAGGGTATCAGGAAGCCTGAAGGCACCATCAGGCTGCCAATGCACTCGCCCCGCAGGTACAGGTTGACCTGCTGGTGGCACCATACCCCCTTGATCTGAAACCATTTGAATGATGATTGTTGATCATTGATTATCTGCCCTGTGAAAGTGAAGCGGACAATGGTTAACTCCTTTGGACCTACCTTCTTTTAAAACGTAATTTCTTATAGTTCGCCAGTGATTTCAATAGCTTTGGATCTGCTTGGACTTTTGAGTTCTCTTAAATTTTTTTTTATTTTGCCCCCAAGCCCCAGCTGCTTCTTTTATAGTTTCAAATTTATTGTTAGAATGTTGCTTATATGATTTTCCGGAAAATGAATTTTATTTTGCCTTGGTTTTTTGCTCTGTGGTTAAGTCTGTTGCCCCAGTCCCCGCACTATACTTTTCTTTCTTGTTTTCTCAGGCCAGCTTGTCTTCCGGTCTCTCTCTTGCTCAGAAAGAAGTCGTGTTTTGATTGTCATTATTCTTTCTATTCTTTTCTCTTTGGGGGACTTTGTTTTCTTTTCTTTTTTTTTCTTTTTAGGTCATACCCAGCCATGCACAGGGGTTCCTCCTGGCCCATGCACTCAGGAATTACTCCTGGCGGTGCTCAGGGGACCACATGGGATGCTGGGAATCAAACCCTGGTCAGCTGCATGCAAGGCAAATGCCCTCCCCACTGTGCTATCGCTCCAGCCCTGGGATTTTGTTTTCTCTAAGTTACTTTCAGTTCATTTTCATCCCCATTTACTTTTCCCGGGGAACTTGACTCTGTGCCATTTTGAAACTTCACACGCGATTTTCTTGGTTTTCTTTTTGACTGACATGATCTTGGTTGAAAACACAGTCTTGGTGCCATTTTCTCCTCTTGGGGACTTTGTGTCACCCCACACCATACCAGGGGTCTCACCCCAACTCCTCTCCCCCCAAGGACCCTCCCCTGTCTTTATCATAGTCTAAAGGTTTGTTTTTGTTTCATTTCATTTGTTCCCTTGCTTTTTTTATTGTCCACAAATGAGAAAACTCATCTGGTGTTTATATTGCCTCTGACTCAGCTTGCTCTGCATGCTTCCCCCCGAGGGTCCATCTGTGTTGTCACAAATGTCATCACAAGATTTTCTCTTCTCTATACAGACCAGTGTGTCCTCATATACACAAGCCACAACGTCTTCATCACATCACCATCCTAGGGCGCTTGAGTTGTGTCTTGACTATTGCCAAAAGGTGTTTCCATGAACATTGGGAGTGCATACATTTTTTCAAATTAGTGACATCATATTCTTTGGATACCCAGAGCAGGTTTACTGAATCTTATGGAAATTCCATTTTTAATTTGGGGTTGGAGGTTCATTCCACGATGCTGTTTTCCGAACTGACTGCACCACCATACGTTCCTACCAATAGTGAGAGGAAGTTCCGTTGCTGCCATAGCCTCACTAACACTTGTTGTTAAGAAATAATGAGCTTTCTGTATGGAATCAAACTTCCTTTATAGATGAAATCTGTCTTGCGGATTGTATTATCTGCAGTGATTTTTTTTTTTTTGCTTTTTGGGTTATACCCGTCGATGCACAGGGGTTACTCCTGGCTCTGCACTCAGAAATTACTCCTGACGGTGCTCAGGGGACCATATGGGATGCTGGGAATCGAACCCAGGTTGGTCACGTGCAAGGCAAATGCCCTACCAACTGTGATACCGCTCCAGCCCCTGCTGTGATGTTTTTTAACGTAGCTTATTCTTTGTTTTGTCTACTTTACTTACTGAATTCTGGAAAAGGTAAATGAAATTATTCCCCCAAATTCTATTTTCATTTTCAGATGTTTTGACTTTACACTTCTGCTGTGGTCTTTGGTGCCCAAGGCATTAGTTCTTGCCATCTGGTTATGGGAATAAAGCGCACTATGATCTATTTGTTGTATCATATATGTCCTTGTCATACTTAATGTTTATCTTGAATTCCACTTTATGCGATAGGCATAGTGTCACTCCAGCGTCTGATTCATCCTTTCATGATCAATTTCATTTTCATGATTCCTTGTAAAAAAGGATATATAAAACTTTGTTCACCATTGCTTCTTTCACCCTTATTTTTTCTTCTTTTAAGTCTTCTCTTTTGTATTCATCGTTATGGAAGTAGGTCTAGTTTGTTGAATGGTTTCCCCAGGTTGCATGAGTGCTTTGTTTTGCTCTGATGTAAAAAATATATTTGTGTGGGGTGTGGGATTCTCGGATCAAAGACCGAGTTCAAAGATCAAAAATCACCCATCAAGAATCTGTGAACATCATTCCATTATCTTTCACAACTTTCAGGGAAAAAATTGACTTTGTAAGCAACAGGGCCTTTCAAACTCTTAAGTGTACAGGATGCTCTCTCCTGAGTGTCCAGAAATTTCTCTGAAATTGGTCCAGATGTGTGCCTTTCAGAATTTGACCTAGTCTGAAATTCAACCAACTCTGTGTTCTGAAGACCTATTTCCTTTTTCTGCTTAGATCTTTTCCTTTGTTATAGCTGAGTACCTCTTCTCTCCTGTTCTTTCCTCCTGAGATCCAATATTTGCATCCTAGGTCTTCTAACAAGTGCCTAGGTGTCATGGATGCTCTGAGAAGTCAGCAAAGCATGAGCTTCTACTGTGTCTGGGTTTCCCTCAAGAATGGCAGGTGGTCGGGACTCCCTGAGGCCCAGGTAGTACCTTCTCTGCCTTCTACATGGCAAGGAGACCTCACCGTTCTTTAGAAGCTGCTGCAGAATTAACATTTGCACATCTTGGAGTTCAGATACAGTTTTTCAGAAAGGTCCCAGTGCCCAGGCAAATCAGTGTTTTGCCCACAATATCTCGGGTCTTACTCAGACACATGAGTTTAGTTAAGGGCCCCAGCCTAGTTCCTGGGGAAACTGATACTGCCCAGATATTCCTTGCTCTTTCTTACAATGAGGAAAGTCAGAGCACATAGGTCTCTGTTTTCTGAAGAGGGAGAGGGTTTGGGCCACACCCGGCAATGTCAGGGGCTACAATTGGCTCTGTGATCAGGGCTCACTACTGGAGGTGTTTGGGGGGATTGAGCCAGAGTCTCTTCCATATAAGGGAACCACTTTAACTCCTGAGCAGTGTCTATGGCCAGCGGCCTCATTCCTGACAACCAGGCAAGCCATTTGCATCCTCTCTGGGAATGCTGATTCCCTCTGGATATTCCCTTTGTATAGGGAGAACAAGTGTAGCCAGCATTCCTGGTGTGTGGGGAAAGGGGTGAGTTTATTCTAAGGGGAGCCAACCAGAGTTTGACATTCGGGACAGTTGCCTATTTGATAGGCACTATCCTAGGTGCTGAACAAGATGGCGCTTGGAGCCTGAGCTCTTGCTCATCATCTCACGTGATTCCTCTCACAGCCTCGCCAGGCCCTTCCTACTGACCAGAAGAGGAAAGTGAGTCCCGCAGAATTACATTTCCTTTCCAGTTGCATGTTGCTTGGGGAGCTGAAGGCAGAGCCAGGCTTCCAGCTAGCTCCACTGACGAGACCCCATCTGTTACACACCACCAGCCAATTAAACCCCAGCTCCAGATGTGCCGGTCCCTACAGGACCCCGCAGATGAGCTCGGATTGGCTCTCCTGGAGCCTCCAATGAGCCCTGTGTTTTCTGCTGATGGTGTCCTCTGTGGTCTCCCAGGCTGTCTGGCCTCTGCGTCTCTCTGCCACAGGGCGTCCCTCCAGCTGCAGGGCACAGGCCCAGAAACGGCCAGGTCGGAGGGCACTGTCTGCTCCGTCCCCTCTGTCATTGCTGTCTCAGTCACGGCTTTGCTGGGCAAGGGTGTCCTTCGTTGGATGCCGCAGCCAACATCTGGGGCACCAGCTGTGAGAACAGCCCCCTCACGGCTCCCTGTCACTGCCAAGTTGATGATGGAAGGCCTCAGGCCCACCGGCCCCCAACCCACCTGTCAGAGACCCACTTTCCTCAAAGCTCGGGTCTGCTCGCCTCCAGCCTGGGGGACACTCGCAAAGAAGCCCCATTAAGCTGGTGCCGTTAGGAAGTTTCTTCACTTGGCGAGTTTCCCGGTGAGCCATTAAGAGTTGAATGTGGATGATGACGAGGTGTGTTCTGGGGAGGAACAGCCGGTTCATGTGCGCTGCTTCCCTCAGCCGCTCTGATGGCAGGCGAGCTCGGCAGGAGGGCTGAGAGCCAGCCCCGCTCTGCTCGCTGGGGCCACCTGCCCCGTCCAGTCTCTGAGCCTTTGGCCACACTTTGCCTATAACCCAGTGATATCCCTCGGTTCCTTCCAGCTGCAGAATCCTGCCTCCTCCCTCAGGCCTTCCTCTCCCTAGGGACCCCCTTGTCCCCTCTGACCTTTCTGTCCTCCGGTCTCTGCTGCCTCTGCCATCCTGGGTGCCTCTGTCACATTTGGATTATGCTAGCAGAGGACTTGGCATCAGATGATCAGAGTTAACTGGACCCCGTTAGAACTCACTCCTTCTTCCTCCCGCCTGGATTCTCCTCGACTCACTCGATCTGTGACTGGGTCCTCCATCTGCCAGGGGCCGTGACAGACCTGTCCTCATCCCTTGAGCAGGCTGGTATTTCCTTCTGGATGGAGTTTGCATGACTCAGCTGTGTCAGGGGTCCGTCCACCCTCAGACCTTGCCTTGCTAGCAGAGGACTTGGCATCAGATGGTCAGACCTTGTCTCGTCTTTCTCCAGTTCTGGCAGTGTGGCCAGTGGGTGGAGGTGGTGGTGGACGATCGCCTGCCCATCCTGGACAGGAGGTACCTCTTTGTGAACACCCGCTGCGACAACCAGGAGTTTTGGCCCTGCCTGCTGGAGAAAGCCTACGCCAAGTAAGGAGGGGTTCCCCCTGTGTCCTGCGCCCCAGAACTGCCGGTTCCATCTGCTCTGTCAGAGTGCGCCCTACCAGCTGGCCCCCTTCAGCTCTGCTGAAGGTCAGAGCCAGAGCCTCAGCACCCCCCAGCCAAGGCCCCCTCGGTGGCTGTGTGCCAGGCTGAGGATGGGGAGAGGCACCCAGGTTCTCGGAGGGATGATGGGAGCATGTGGGCCTGAAGGTCATAGCAAGGACAAAGAGCACTGATAAAAAACAGAATTCTGGGGCCAGAGAGATAGCACAGCAGGTAGGGCATTTGCCTTGCATGCGACCAACCCAGGTTCAACCCCCGGCATGCCATATGGTCCCCCAAGCATCACCAGAAGTAATTCCTGAGTGCAGAGCCAGGAGTGACCCCTGAGCATCACCAGGTGTGACCCAAAAGACAAAATAAATAAATAAATAAATAAATAAATAAATAAAAATAGAATTCCCAGCTCAAGCCCAGGGAGTGCGGGGATGAGGCAGGCAGAGTGGAGGACGCAATCGCAGGGAGGTCAGCAGGATGTCACCAGGAAGGGACCCCAGTGAGGCCTTGGAGGATGGGCAGGACGGAGCTTCCCCAACTGGGGGAATGAGTCAAGCAAAGTCCAGGGAGGCTGAAGCATGCTGGGAGAGTGGCATGACTGGGAGCTTCGGGAAGTGACGGTGACCAGGCATTTAAACGTGGGCTAGAGGACCACAGGGACAGGACAGGGCTGAAAGTCCTTGCCATGCACGTGGCTGGCCCCAGGTCAGTCACCAGCACCACAGATGATGCCAAGAAATCTAGCTCCGAGAACTCTTTCCAGCAACGAAGCGACTTGAGAGCCTGGCCCTCTTCAGGGAAAGGAGTTGGAGTGCAGGAGGGGCCGGACAGAAACCCCCCAAGGGCAGCTTGGCCTCTCTCAAGATCAAGCCCCCCCACCCCCGAGTGTGGGGTGTGGCCTGGCCTGTGCGGTTCCCACCCTGCATGCGCCCCCTCCACCCACCTGCCCCTGGTGAGGAAACGATGGCAGAGAGAGAGCAGGGGTGCACGGGCCTGAAGCGGGAGCTGGTGGCTGAGGGCACCCATCAGGGCTTCCTGCAGGGCTCCATAGGCAGCCTCCCTCTTTCCCTCTCTCCCTCCCTCCCGGCCTGTCCCCCTCCCAGGCTGCGCGGGTCCTACCTCAACCTGCACTACGGCTACCTCCCCGATGCGCTGGTGGACCTGACAGGGGGCGTGGTCACCAGCATCGACGTGACCTCCTCCCCGGCCGACATGCTGGTCATGGTGCAAGCAGCCGCCCAGGCCGGCTCCCTCATCACGTGCGCCACGCCCGCGGGGGTGAGTGGGGTCCCCTGAGCTGGGGGAGTGGTTGGCAGTGGGGAACAGTCAGGGAGGGCCAGTCAGGGACCGGTCAGAGGGCTTAGGCAGGGGGCACCCAGTCAGGGAGCCTGGTTGGAAGGCTAGTCAAGGGGGGCTTGCTGGAGGACTCAGCCAGGGTGTACAGGTCGGAGGGGCAGTCAGGGGCAGAGCAGGGGAGTCAGCGAAGTATGTGGTCAGGGCCACTCTATCAACTCTGGTGAAGGCTCAGAGCCAATGGGGAGCCCTGAGGTGGTGCCTGCCAGGGACGGCCACACTGTGTCTCCTCACGGCCCAAAGAAAACATGTCCTGAGAGACTCTAAAGGCTAATCGTCACATAGCCTGTCACTGTCAACTCCCATTGTTCATTGATTTGCTCGAGTGGGCCCAGTAACGTCTCCATCGTGACATTTGTTGTTACTTGTGTTTGGCATATCGAATACATCATGGGGAGCTTGCTAGGCTCTGCCGTGCAGGCAAGATACTCTCGGTAGCTTGCCGGGCTCTCCGAGAGGGGCAGAGGAATCGAACCTGGGTCAGCCAGGTGGGCCGCGTGCAAGGCAAATGCCCTACCCTCTGTGCTATCGCTCCAGCCCAATATATATAATGTATTATATATTATCACTGTCCTCCCGTTGTTCATCAATTTGCTTGAGCAGGTCCAGTAACGTCTCCATTGTGAGACTTGCTGTTACTGTGTTTGGCATATCGAATATGTCATGGGGAGCTTGCCAGACTTTGCCGTGAGGGTGAGATACTCTCAGTAGCTTGCCAGGCTCTCCGAGAGGGGCAGAGGAATCGAACCTGGCTCAGCCGGGCTGGCTGCGTGCAAAGCAAACATCCTACTGCTGTGCTATCGTTCCAGCCCAAATAATATCACTTGATATATATTATATATAAAAGGTAAAGGCCCTCCCGTTGATCGTCGATTTGCTCGAGCGGGCCCAGTAACGTCTCCAGTGGAGACTTTGTTGTTACTGTGTCTGGCATATCGAATACTCTCGGTAGCTTGCCGGGCTCTCCGAGAGGGGCGGAGGAATCGAACTCGGGTCGGCCATGTTGGCCGCTTGTAAGGCGAACGCCCTACCCGCTGTGCTATCGCTCCAGCCCAAATAATATCACTTGATATATATTATATATAATATATATAAAATATTTGCAACCTTAAAATTGGAGAGATCCAAACAAAGAGTCTGTTCTGGCCAAAACCCTCACAGCCGGGCACTGACCAGGGCCCTCACAGCTGGGCTCTAACCGAAGGCCTCGCAGCTGGGTGCTGGCTGAGCCCTCAGAGCTGGGCACCATCCTGGCCGGCTTTCTCTGCTGCCCTCTGGTACTTCCCACCCGCAGGGCAACAGTCCCGGGGCCAGCAGGTCCCTCTTGGGAAGGCCTTGCTGCCCCTCTGACCCTCTGAGATTTGCGCCTGTTCTCAGACAACCCTTCCTCCATCCTGCAGATCTGCGGGCGCTGGGGCCTGCATCCCTCAGGGGAACCCTCGCCCCAAGCCCCGGGTCCTCTTGTGAGGGGTTGGCTGGCGCCCAACTCACAAGAGGAGGGAGCTAGAGGGGGAGGTTGAGTCAAGAGGGTGGGGCTCCTAGTCAGGGGGAGTATGGGGGTGCCAGGCACCACCCCACTGTGGGTGGGTGGGTGGGCGTCACAGCTGCCCCACTGATGCTGTCCCCTCCCCCTCCCCCCAGCCCACAGGAGTGGCCACAAAGCTGCAGAATGGCCTGGTGAGCCAGCATGCCTACACTGTGACCGGTGCTGAGCAGGTGAGTCCCCGCTGTCACCAGCGGCCCAACCCTAGCCCGGCCACAGAGCAAAGGTTCCTGCCCTACTGGCCTCGGTGCTGTGTCCATCCACCCAGAAGGTCTGACTCTGCCCTCAGGCCCAGAATGCCCCACCCCAGGTGCTTCCTGCCCTGGGGAGTCAACAAAGTGTGTGTTCAGGGCCACTCTGTCAACTCTGGCGAAGGGTCAGGGCCAATGGGGAGCCCTGAGGTGGAGCCTGCCAGGGACGGCCATGCTATGTCTCCTCATGGCCCAAAGAAAACATTTCCTGAGAGACGCTAAAGGCTAATCGTGGACGGAGCCATGATTGGTTTGGAGCCCATCTCTGTGCTAGTGCTCCCGGGATGACGGAAGTCGAGTGGGGACTTTGCAGAGCTGGGGGCTGGCCCTGGGGGCATGGCAGAAGGGCCCACTGAACCACTCTCACAGAGAAGCTCTGGCGGGACCAGGTTCCTTTCTCCCTCGGGGAGGTTCTAGTGAGGTGTGCCAGTCACACAAGGGGCCTCTGCCTCTCAGCCCTGGGACATGCCCCGGGCCCCTCAGCTCCCAGACAGACAGAAAGACATCATGACATGTGCCGAGAGGAGGCCCGAAGGGGAGAAGGTGTGTGGTTACTCTCGGATCCACAGAGACGGCAAAGGAGAGAACGAGAGAAAGAGAGAGAGGAAGGGCAGAGGAGAGAGAGAGAAAGAGAGAGAGCACAAAGGAGAGTAAGAGGGAAAAGGAACGAGAGAAGGGAGACCAAGAGTGTGAGTGAGTGAGAGAGGGAGAGAGAGAGAGAGAGAAGGAGAGAGAGAATGAGAGTGAGAGAATAAGGAAGCATCCCTGGGTATGACCTAACAAGGAGCTGGAGGGAAAACAGGGCAGAGATCCTGAGGCTCAGCCCATTCTCAGATGGACCCTTGACTGTGACCAGCTGTCTACGGGAGAGTGGGCTCCGGGTGGGGCCGGGAGTGTAGTCCACACAGCACACGCCTTGCATGAGCGAGGTCTGGCCTGACCCCTGGCACTGCGTGACCCCCACAAGCACTGCCAAGTGGTGGTACTAGGGTCCAGGAGCACGTTCGGGGTCACCAAAGTCCCAAGCATCACCAGCCTCCGATAATAAAGGAAAACAAGAAAGGGTGACCGCCGGACAACGCGTCAGAGCTTGGCTTGGCGACAGATTTGTCCTCTTGAGAGAAGAGGTCAGAACTCCGAGGAGCAGGGCTAAGATTGAGCCAGCCCCTAACTGAAATGTGCTTTTTAATCTGCTCCTCCTCCCTCGGGGCGGAAGGCAGACAGGAAGATAAATGGAATTGGCATCTTTTATTCTGCACCTAGCGGGGCCAACGCCTCCCAGAGCTGGTCTGCATGCCTCATTTAGCCTGCTCCACTGCGGCCACTTTCTCCCCTGTGCTGAGCTGCACCGAGGCCCCGGGGCTGCTCAGTGAGTTCTCGGGGCCCCTCGGGGGCCTGTCCTCATGCCCCTGGCCCAGGGGCTGTGGCAGAGGCGGGTGGATGACTGCAGACATGCCCTGTGTGTCTGGGCTCCAGAAACCAGGGACATGAGAAGTCAGCGCACCTTTTCCTGCAGTGCCCGAGAGACCGGGGCAGCGTCTGAGAAGCCACGCCCTGCCTTTGTGGCAAAGGCCTGTAGGGGACCACAGGGTCCAGGTGATGGCCACGGGCAGACTGAGCTGGGCCTGGAGCAACTGTGTCCTTTACCGGGTCTGGAGTCAGAGCCTTTGCCCTGGTCCTGTGCCCTGGAGGCCACGGGAGTGCCTCTCCCGGGACAGGGCTGCAGACACAGAGGCTGAGGTTAGAGCCACGTGGTTCGGAGCCTGTCTCGGCGCTAGGTGATTTCCCTGGACAGCGGCCCTCCCAGTCCCCTTCACTGGAGGCCTCGCCACACGGGCCCTTCCTGTGCTCCCTACGCCTCTGGTTCTGCACCAGCGACAGCTCTAACTCTGTTCCCTTTGCGAGTCTCGCCTCCCTCTGTGGATGTCCAAGGTCAGGCAGCCACCACGGCAGGGGTCTGGCATGACTGTGCCACAGGCTTGCCCTCGGGACTCAGCGGCAGGAAGGAGCAAATGGGCCTCCTTGGGTCCCTGGGCATGAGTGAGGAGATGCCAGGGGGAGGGAGGGAGGGAGGGAGGGGGGAGGGAGGGAGGGAAGAAAGGAAGAAGGGAGGGAGGGAGAAAGGGAGGGAGGAAGGAAAAAGGGAGGGAGGACTAACGGAAGGAGGGAAGGAGGGAGGGAGGGAGGGAGGGAGGGAGGGAGGGAGGGAGGGAGGGAGGGAGAGAGGGAGAAAGGGAGGAAGGAAGGGAGGGAGAGTGAGGGAGGAGGAAGAAAGGAAGGAGGGAGGGAGGGAGGGGGGAGGGAGGGAGGGAGGGAGGGAGGGAGAAAGGAAGGGAGGGAGGGAGAGAGGGAGAAAGGGAGGAAGGAAGGGAGGGAGAGTGAGGGAGGAGGAAGAAAGGAAGGAGGGAGGGAGGGAGGGGGGAGGGAGGAGGTAGTGAGGGAGGGAGGGAGGGAGGGAGGGAAGAAAGGAAGAAGGGAGGGAGGGAGAAAGGGAGGGAGGAAGGAAAAAGGGAGGGAGGACTAAAGGAGGGAGGGAGGGAGGGAGGGAGGGAGGGAGGGAGGGAGGGAAGAAGGAAGGGAGGAAGGAAGGAAGGAAGGGAGGGAGGAGGGAGGGAGGGAGGGAGGGAAGAAGGAAGGGAGGAAGGAAGGAAGGAAGGGAGGGAGGGAGGGAGGGAGGGAGGGAGGGAGGGAGGGAGGGAGGGAGAAAGGAAGGGAGGGAGGGAGAGAGGGAGAAAGGGAGGAAGGAAGGGAGGGAGAGTGAGGGAGGAGGAAGAAAGGAAGGAGGGAGGGAGGGAGGGAGGGAGGGAGGGGGGAGGGAGGAGGGAGGGAGAAAGGGAGGGAGGGAGAAAGGAAGGGAGGAAGGAAGGAAGGAAGGAAGGAAGGGAGGGAGGGAGGGAGGGAGGGAGAAAGGAAGGGAGGGAGGGAGAGAGGGAGAAAGGGAGGAAGGGAGGGAGAGGGAGGGAGGAGGAAGAAAGGAAGGAGGGAGGGAGGGAGAAGGGAAGGGAGGGAGAGAGGGAAGGATGGAGGGAGGGAAGGAGGAAAGGAGGGAGGGAGGGAGGGAGGGAGGGAGGGAGGGAGGAAGGGAGGGAGGAAGGGAGGGAGGGAGGGAGGGAGGGAGGGAGGGAGGGAGGGAGGGAGGGAGGGAAGTGTGTTTGTGTCACAGGTGGAGGCTGGATGAGTGGGGCTGCAGGCTGGGAAATGCTGTTGTCTTGAGCCCCTGGGCTGTTCTCCTGCCCCCTGCCCAGGACGGCAGCGTGGACACCCCAGCCCGGCTCCCAGGGCCCGTGCAGGGACGCAGCCATGGCGAGCGACCAGACCTGACCACACGCTTTGGTCTGTGGCTGCTGCCCCTTGTCCCGCGCTGTTTGCCGGCCTGGAACCTCTGTCCACTGGGCTCCAGGTCACAGAACCAGGGGCCGGGCCTGTCCCTCCACGCCGGGCAGAGCCAGGCCACACTCCCCTCCCCGTCAGCTTCCTTCCGGGAGAGTCCCCTCCGTCTCCTCCAGCTCCTCGTTCAGTGCTCCGGGCAGCCAAATGAGGCCCAAGCTCCCGAACTCCCCTGCCCCATCGCCCACGACTGACCGACTGACCCCGCCTGCTCTCTCCCCCTAGGTCCAGTACCGGAGGGGCTGGGAGGACCTGATCCGCCTTTGGAACCCCTGGGGAAACACGGAGTGGAAAGGGCCCTGGAAGGACGGGTACGGCCGGGGGTGGGGTCCCCGCTGCCCAGCTCCTGTCCCAGTCAAGGGACACAGTCCCCAAGCCGACAGTGCCCACCCTGAGCTCTTCTTTGGGTGGGGCCTGATGGGCCCCCTGGCTCTTCCAGGGGGACCCTCCCGCCGAAGACAGGGTTCTCGGACCCAGAATTCCTGGTTGGGGAGACCGGGCAGGCGCCGGGTCGCAGAGAACGGGAGAAACTCATCCAGTGGGGGGCAACAAGGTGCCCCAGAGCCATCCTTTCTGCCCCTCTGATCTGCCCCGCAGGGGTCACTGCATGAGCCTCTCGCTCCGGGGAGGAGTGAGGGGCCAAGGGGGCTCCGAGACCTGTGACCGCCTCACAGCAGCTGCATGGGGACTCGGGGCTCCCTGCGGGTGAGGGCTGAGCTGGCTCCCTGCATCCTGCAGCCAGGATGGGTCCCTGGTCCCCAACCCTCCCGGCACCCCCTCTGGGACCTGCAGAGGACCGTGTGGCAGCAGGCGGGGCAGGATGGGAAGGCTGCCTGACAGGAAGGACATCGGAGCAGAGCCCTGCCTGGGACACCAGGGGGACAGGGACTTTGTAGGCAGCTGGTGCAGGAGAGGGCGTGGGAAGGAGGAACTAGTTTGGGAGCAGGGGAGCAGCGGGAGGAGCTGAGACAGGAGCAGGGGGTGAAGGAACTGGTTCAGGAGAGAGGAGGAGGAGGAGGAGGAGGAGGAGGAGGAGGAGGAGGAGGAGAAGGAGGAGGCGGAGGAGAAGGAGGCGGAGGAGAAGGAGGAGGAGGAGGAATAGGAGAAGGCAGAGGAGGAGGGGAAGGAGGAAGAGGAGAAAAAGGAGAAGGAGGAGGAGAAGGAGAAGGAGGAGGAGGAGAAGGAGGAGGAGGAGGAGAAGGAGGAGGAGGAGGAGCTGGTATGGGAGAGGGAGGAGGAGGGCTGGGACAGGAGGAGGGGAGGAGTACGAGGAAGAGGAGGAGGAGGACGATGAGGAAGAGGAGGAGGAAGAGGAGGAGGAGGTGGGGGAGGAGGTGAAGGAGGAGGAGGAGGAGAAGGAGTAAAAGGAGGAGGAGGAGGAGGAGAAGAAGAAGGAAGAGGAGGAGGGGAGGAGGAGGAGGAGGAGCTGGTATGGGAAAGGGGAGGAGGAGGACTGAGACAGGAGCAGGGGAGGAGGACGAGGAAGAGGAGGAGGAGGAGGAACAAGGAGGAGAAGGAGGAGGAGGAAGAGGAGGAGGTGGGGGAGGAGGAGGAGGAGGAGGAAGAGCTGGTATGGGAGAGGGGAGGAGGAGGAGGAGGAGGGCTGCAGGGAGGACAGACTCGGGCTCAGGAGAGAGCGAGGCAGGTTGCTGGCAGACAGGCGGTCCCCAAGCTCTGGGGCTTTCCCGAAGCGAGCGGGGGGGGGCGGGTGCAGGGGACGGGTGCACCTGCTGGTCCCCCATGGACGCTCATCCTGGGAGGTGAGGGAGGCCACCCCGTGCCAGCAGGAGCCCGTGACCCCGCATCCCGCAGGGCTGCTCTCCTCCAGCAGGATCCGGCCGGGCCCAGCTCAAGCCTAATTGAAATTTCTGTCGCACACACTTACAGGCAAACGGGCACGAATCGATAGCATATTGATTCACACTACATTTATTTTCCCTTACCCGCTGCAGAAAATGTAATTATCGCTTAATTATAAAATTGCCATTTTACACGAACACATCGGACTGGCTGGGCCTGCAGCCGGCAGTCGGAAGGGTGGTCCCTCCTGGCGCAGGAGACTCAGAGGGGGTCCTTCCTGCCCCTCGCTCCCCGAGAACAAGCTCCCAAGGCTTCCGGGCTGCCGTGGGGACCCCCAATGGTGGGCCTGGGAGCGGGCTTTCAGGTGGAGGAGGGTGGAGAGAAGGCCAGCAGCTGTTTCCGCTAGGGAGAGTCTTTGCTTCCCCCCAGATCCTGCTAGAGAAAGTTCTAGAACATGGATGGTTCAAGAGCCAAGCAGAAATCTGTGGAGTGGTCACCAAGAGGCCAAGATCTACTCTTGGGGTCCTGGGGCTAGATCCTGCTGCCGGAACATGGGGCTCAGGAAGGCCAGTGGCCAGTGAAGAAGCTGGTGACGCAAAGACTGAGCTGAGGGCGGGGTGGGGGGCAGCTGCGTTGTTCCCACAAGGGTCCCTGGACCCAGATTTGTGGGGTCCAGAGTCTGCAGGGTACCAGCCGGGCTTCCCGGAGAAGGTGACTTCTTGGAGACATGAGAGCTCAAGTTTCGGAGTCCCATGAGGAAAAGGTGTTGCAACAGCCATGAGAGAACTCAGTGAAAGCCCCGAGCGAGGCATCGCCAAGAAAACGAGTCTCGTTTGCTTATTGGGGAAGCAGACTTGGGCTTGGAGACCAGGCAGAGGTCCGAGAGCTGTTTCTGGAGTTTTCCCGGGAGAGCGCACAGAGACCCCCTACTTCCCTGAAGCGCAGCACCGCCTTCAGTCCACTGCAGTTCTTCATTTAACTGCATGCAGGAGGGATGGAAGATGGGCGGGTGGGGTGAGGGGTGCAGAGATCAGGGCTGAGCTCGGAGAGGGGCACCAGGAGAGGACCTCTGACAGCCACGTGGGAGGAGGGGCAGGCTGGGGTGGGCTAGCCCTGTGCTGGGGCTTCGGTAGGGGCTGGCGGGGGTGGGTGAAGGAGCGTCCACATAAAGTGGGTAGGGAGAGTGTGGGAGCCATCAGCTTAGAGCATCATGGGTCACAACCCCCCCAAGCTGGACCGGGGCTCCCCACTGTACCTCGGGACTGAGAGATAAAGGGGGAGGGAAGGGAAGCAAAGCCCTAAGCTCTTTCCCCGTCCCTGACTCTGCTCAGGTCTGTGGAGTGGCAGGAGAGTCGCGACCCGCGGAAAGACCAGCTGTACCAGGACAAAGAGGATGGCGAGTTTTGGTATTTATTTTATTTTATTTTATTTTATTTGGGGGGAGGTCACACCCGGCGATGCACAGGGGTTCCTCCTGGCTCTGCACTCAGGAGTTACTCCTGGCGGTGCTCAGGGGGCCATATGGGATGCTGGGAATCGAACCCGAGTTGGCCACGTGCAAGGCAAAAACGCCCTCCCTGCTGTGCTATCTCTCCAGTCCTGAATTTTGGTATTTAAATCCGATGGGCACCGCCCCGGCCCTCGCCCTTCTCAGACAGACCCATGGGGGCATCTGTGCTCTGCAGACCCCCATGTACCTGGGTCTATTTTCTTCACCGAGCACCTAAGCTTGAGGGTGCCCTGAGGGTGGGAAAAGGGTTTCAGCTCTGAAGAGCCAAGTTGCTGGAAAACAGGGGTGACAGGTGGAAACTCTGACAGCAACGGCTTTCTGAAGACTCTGGGGCGGGGGCACCGGGCCTTCTGTGCGACCCACTGAGGAGAGCCACCTCAGGTCTCAATTCCAGGCTTGGTGCCAACTCACGAGTTCTGGGGATAACGGAGCCGCTGGAACTAGGTGTCCCAAATGCCATCGTTGGTCTTAGGCGCTGTTGGAAAGGACAAGGCAGGCAGACAGCTCTTGGGGCCTCTCTGTGTCCTTTGTGACGCCTTTAAATAAAATGCGGTCTGGGTACCAGGGAGGCTGTGCAGAAGCGATCAAGGATCCAAGGAGGAGTGTAAGAAAGAAAACATTTCTAGTATATGTAGCTTCATCCCAGGATGAGGTGGGGGTTCAGGGTTGAAGCCACTGTGTTCTGATGCAGACCCCAGCCAGGAATTAGACCCAGCGGCTGGGAAAGGGGAGGGTCCGGAGCACAGAGCCTGGCCCAGCTAGGTGACCGGCTGAACTGGACGTTCACGCCGCCCTTGTCCTCCCAGCTCCAGATCCCCAGGGAGAAGGAGCCAAGGAGGCTCTGGCCGTGAGGTGGCACAATGCGACCTTGGTGGACATGGTAGTTGGATGCCGGTGGAGGTGGGGACAGCTCCGGCCTGGGGACAAGGCCAGGGGCCACTGGCGACACATCTCTTTTCCCACCAGGATGTCGATTCAAGATTTCCAGGACAACTTCTCCTGCCTGTACATGTGCAACAAAGTCCCCATCAGCGTGGAAGACGGCAACATGGTCTGTGCGAGATGGTCCCAGAAGATGTTCAAGGGCCGTGTGATACCAGGAAGCCCAGCAGGTAGGCGTTGGTGAAAGCTGGCTCAGCTTGGGCCGCTCCACTCACGACCATCAGCCAGAGGCAGGAGGGAGAGGGATTTGTCAGCCGAAAGGCACACTGTTGCCTCTCCAAGGGAAGCCTCAGCTCCGAGACCACGGCTCTGCTCCTGACCAGCAGCAGAGAGAGCACTTTGCCCCAACAGCCTGGGTGAATGGGACCCCAAGCTGAGCACAGCCCTACTGGGGACAGAGGCCCTGAAACTTCATACGCACTTGAACTCGTGCGTGCATGTGGGTGTCTACATGTATGTAGGCGTCTAGCTGTGGGAGGATGTGAGGGCATGTGATGCCTGTGCGTGAGTCAGTGTGTATACACATGGCTGAGTTTCGTAGGTGCATGTAGAGGCATGCGTGTGGGTGAAAATATGGACCTATGTCCCGTTGCACGGAAGTGGGTATGTGGTGTGTGTCTGTGAGAGTCTGTGCATGTGGGTGAGTGTGTGTGAATGAATAATGTCCATGAGTGTTGGCCTATGAGCATATGTGTGTGAGTGTGTGCTTGTGCGTATCACTGTCACTGTCCTCCCGTTGTTCATCAACTTGCTCGAGCGGACCCAGTAAGGTGAGCGGGCCCAGTAACCTCTCCATTGTGACAGTTGTTACTGTGTTTGGCATATCGAAAACATCACGGGAGCTTTCCAGGCTAAGCCGTGCAGGCAAGACACTCTCAGTAGCTTGCCGAGAGGGGTGGGGGAATTGAACTCGGGTTAACCATGTTGGCCACTTACAAGGCCTACCACTATGCTATCGCTCCAGCCCACTTGTATGTAAATACATGCATGTAAATGGGTATGTGAGCATGCGTGTGCATGAGTTTGCATGTGTGTGTAAATGTGTGTGCATATAAAGTGTATGGAGAGGGTCTTAGTAAGTGTGCATGAGTCTGTACGAGTGTGTGTGCCTGCACATATGTATTCGTATGTGTGCCTTCCCTTTCCTGGACACATCCTGTGGACAGTGGTCGGCATGGATGACCCCAGGCCCCAGGATTCCCTTTTCTCCTTCAAGCGTCTCTGCTTGTCAGAAGATCTCATTGCAGCGGGCTGTGGCCATCCTGAGGAGCCCCAAAGTGACCGATTCTCCTGCCTGCCTGGGTGCCCAGACCCTCTTCCCTCAATGGCCCCTTGGGGCCATTTTCAGGAATTCCTTGGGAGGTGCAGCTCTGCTTTGGCCCCACCGTCACGTTCATCCGTGGAAAGCCCGAGACCGTGACCGCCCGTCTGTGCTATGTGGGCCCCCACCTGCCATTCTTTGATTCATCTTCATCCCCAAAACACTATCCCGGGATTCCCCAGCTGCAGCCTGATGATACCCCGGGGAAGGAACTCTGAGCTCCGTCTCTGCATCTTTCCCCTCAGCTGCAGGGCCGCTGGTGACAGCCCCTCAGCCAGGCTCCGGGCTCAGTGCCTCTTGCATAAGCTCTTGCATTCGGGGCTCCTTCATTCTCCAGGTGGTAAGAAGAGAACCGTCAGCTTTGCATCTAAGAAACAGTTTTGCCAAGCAGGAAGGAGATGGAAGAACAACCCTAAAAGCTGTTGTTTCTTTCTTGTTTCTTCGGGGGCCTTCACCTGCTGTGCCAAGGGCTTACTCTTGGCTCTGCTCTCAGAGATCAGTCCTGGTGGGCTCAGGGGGGCATCCGGGCACTGCGGATTAAACCTGGGTCAGCCATAAGTGTGGCATGTGCCCTGCCTGCTGTCATTGCTCTAGCCCAAGAGTCACTGGTGCCCCGCTGCCCACTGCAGTGGGAACTGGGATGCAGGCCTTGGTGTGTGAAGGTGATTCCTCACGTAGCCCCGGGGGTACCCAGCCCGGGGCGCCTGGCCGAGCACAGTGACAGTTCTCTCCCTTGCAGATGGCTTCTGGAGGGACACCCAGTTCCTTTTCTCTGTGTCGGACAGCATCCGGGGGGAAAACACTGTCGTGTCCTTCACTATCATGCCCCAGGACATAAGCAAGGAAGATGATAAGTTCCCGCTCAGCTTCGATGTCTTCAAGGTAAGAGCCCCGGTGCTCTCTGCCCGTCGGTACCTGCCTGGGGGGGGGACCGCGGACCCCAGAGTGAGAGCGGATCAGGGGAGCACAGCCTCGGGGAGCAAATGCCAAGGAGCGGCAGAGTCCAACGCTGTCAGTTGGGGGCCCCTGACACAGTGCGATGGGGACGGGATCCAGCTTCACGCAGACGCCCTCTGTGCCGCCGTCATCGGTCAGCGTTTCCCGCGAGACTGCAGCCTGTGCCTGCTCCGGAAGCAGCCGGGTCAAGGAGCCTGACCCAGACCTGCCGAACCCACATATCCGGGGGCAGTCGGAACAGCTTCAGGGTCTCCAGGACCCTGAGCGCTGCCCAGGCAGGAGATGTGGGCTGTCCTGGGCTAATTTATGGGAAGCCTTTAAAGCTAAAACCATCCCGGGAATAAAGCCAGGCCACTTGGCCCTTGTGCTTTGACCAGAGGTAGCATGTCAACCCCCACTGTTGACATGCGTTATATGTGCATCAGCTGTCAATACTGGAATTTACCTATAATTAACGTGTAGAGGATGTACACGTAATCCAGGGCCTGGCGTGCGTGCGGATCTGTGTGTGCGCGTATTTTGTGTGCATGTGTGTGTGTGCGAGTGTGTGTGCGTGCTCATGCGTGTGTGCACGTGTGTGTGTGCATGTGTGTGCATGTGTGTGTGGGGGTGGGTGCATGTGTGTGCATGTGTGTGCATTGTGTACGTCTGTGCGTGTGTGTGCAAGTGTGTGTGTGCGTGCATGTTCATGTGTGCCTGTGGGGTGTGTGTGTGTGTGTGTGTGTGTGTGTGTGTGTTGGTGTGTGTGTCTGGGGGGGGGGGGGCTTGCTGTGCTCTCTCTCCAGCTCTGAAATGGTCTTGTATACATTCTATGTGCAGATGCAGCAGAAGGTCCCGCGGGAAGGAAGTCGGGGTGCTGACCCTCCAGGGGCCGCCTGAGTTTCTGACCCCGCCCTTTCCACTCTCCCTGCAGGTGGACCCCCAGGTGCGTCCTTCCGGATCCCTCTGGCCGTGGGGCTACTTCGTGCCAGGCTCTGCCCAGGCTTGCGTGGTCCCTGGCTCTCATTCTCCCGTGGCTGCACTTCAGAGCGGCCCGTGCGGTCAGGCCAGGTGCCTCGAACTGGCAGCCACGCGGGCCCAGCTTCACTGTCTGCCACAGAGGCCGGACCCAGCCTGCTCTCGGCTCTGACCTTCAGGCATCCTCAGGCCCGGGTCCCGGTGGGGTGCCAGCGTCGCTTCCTCTGGCTTGAGAAGAGGGCCAGGGCAGGCAGGGTACTTCCGGGGGGCACCTCCAGCCTCCCTTCCTCACCGCCAGGCCCGAGTCAGTCCCCCAGAGCAGAAGGCGCACTGGGCCACCGCAGCCTCTCGTCGTGGGCCAGACCGCGGGTCTCCCTAAGAGAGCGAGGGGCTCGGCTGGCCGGGGGGGCCTAACGCCCAGGGCAGGAGGGGAGCTGGGAACCGTGACCATGGGCGCCCTCACCCATCCATGGTTATGGGCCTCACAGCACCCACCTGCCCAGTGGGTGCTGTGTCTGGGCTGGCAGGATGGGGCAGCAAGGGGCGCAGCTGTGCCCATGGCTTCTGGGGTACACTGTGGGCTGGCAGGTCCCCGCCAGCTCCTGCAGGCCACGCAGGGGAGCCCCGAGAGCCAGACCCAGGGCAGAGGGACCTTCTGAAGGCAGAGCCTCTCCAGTGGCCGGGCAGGTGGCGGACTGCAAGCTGACCCCGTCCTGCAGCCCTGGCCTCCTGCAGCCCTGGGCGGAGGACCTCACTTCTCCCTGGTCCTCAGGGCCCTGTCAAGGAAGCAAAGCTTCTAGAAGGGCTTCAAGGGAAACACTCAAGGCGCACGCACAGGGCTGGAGAAGGTGAGGACAGAGGCAGGAAGGGAGCCCCAGGTCTGGAGGACAAGGGGTTTCGCAGTTCATTCTCCAAGCTCAGGACCAGGACCCGCCATCCCTCCCCTCACATGCCCCTGACAGCCGCCAGGGAATGGGTCTGCTCAGAAGCCCAGACAGGGCTGAGACTGAACGACGGAGGAAGAGGTAAGGGCGGGAGAGTGGAGGAAGCCTTGTCTTCCAAATGGAGGTGACCTCGGCCCAGAGACTGTGTGCACAGCCGGCTCTCTGCATCACGCGAGCACACACGCACACACATGCACACACGTGCACACATATGTACACACACACACTCACTCCCAGAGTGACCCAGCGTGGTGTTCGCTCTGCAGCAAAACTGATCTGATCCTTGCTTTGGCCAGAAGGACCCCAGCAAGGCAGGCTCCCAGCCCCCAGAGGGAGGAGGGTTATGCTATGTCCGTCCCAGTGGTCTTGCATTCCGGATTCCACCCAGCCTCCGTCCTACACTTGGAACAGGAAAGCCTCAGCTCCGCCCTGTCCCCATTCTCTCTTTCTCTCGGAAAAAAAAAAAAAGGAAAGAAAGAAACTCTCCCTTCTCCCTGTTCCCCCCAGGGCCCGAGAGCACAAATAATCATTTCACACTGTGTAACCATTCTAAATGGAACCCCCAGGCTTGGCGGTATTGGGGGAAATTTATTTAGTCAGGGCTTGGTGTTATGTAATATGTATGTGACATCTGGTAATAGGAACTGCATTATATTTATTGTTTTATCTCTAGGAAAATATTGAAATAAAAGGAAAATGATCAGGACCTATTATTCTCCAATGAGGATGCAATTCAGGGCACTGCTGGAAAGATGAAATAGAAGAGGGGGGGTGCAGGAGGGGTGCAGGAGCCCTGCTCAGCACGATCTTCGTGTTCCTGGACCCTTTGGCATCTTTGACCCGTGATCATCCAAATGCAGCCGCTTTTCTGAGAGTTTGGGGAGCACTGTCTCCCCTGGAGGGGCTGCTATTCACTCTGGGTGTGCAGAGACAGGAGGCTGAATCCCTCCTGGTGCTGAGGGCGGGGCGGGGAGTTTTCTCACCGTGATGATCTCCCCCCAGTTCCAGCACTTCCAGGAGAAGCTGCCACGGACGTTCTTCTCCCAGTACCGAAACATCATCAAGGGCATCGTCTCCAAAACCAAGTGCAACCTCACCAAGAGCTTCCACCTCAGCCCCGGCACGTACGTGGTGGCTGCCTCGGCACGCAGGGAACCGGTAGAGTTCCTGGCCCGAATCTTCCTGAAGATGCCAGTGAGCAACAGGTACAGACTCCTGGCATCTGGAAGGTTCTGGTCTGTTAACATTTTCCGTGGAATCCGTGGCGTGGTTCTGGGCCAGTAGGGGGCACGGTCCAGACCCTGCTTTGGAGAAACTCGCCACAAGAGGAACAGAGGCCCGCGGGCCAGTAGCCAAGCCTCTCCTGGGAGCTGGCATGGCGAGGTGCAAACCCAAGGCCTGCAGGAGGGCAGGGGCGGGTAGGAGAGGGTTATTTGGGGTAGTGCCCTTTCCCTGATGATGGAAAACGGTAACGGTTTGAAGGGGCGGGCAATGCAGGTGGAAGGAAACACCTGTGCAGCAGCAGGAAGGAGGAAGGGATGGGAGCCACAATTGCAAGGGGGTGGTTCATGGCATGTGGCATCACCCACTCTGTGGCCAGGTGGGGGGGACATCAGGGAGACACAGAGAACAGAGTCAATGGTGCAGGACCGTCAGTGCCACCGGGGGCCAGGTTGGGGTGGCGTACACAGCCTGCTGGGACCTCGCCCCCTCCTGGGCAAGTCTCATGGTCATGGTGGTCTGTCTCTATGTGGGCATGGGTCCGACTAGCTCAGAGCTGCCCACAGCGGCCCCCATGCCCAGAGCAGAGCAGGAATGTGTGATGAGGCTTGGCGGCTGCCTGGCAGAGCGGTTGGCTCAGGCTGTGAGTGGGACCCTCAGCTAAAGGGCATCCTAGACCACGTGGCTGACCCATCCCTTCCCAGAAGCTCTGCTGAGGGCGCATCCACCCAGATATTTGTAAGCTCATTTCCTTTGCCCAGTGACCCGGCCGTCCCCATCACACTGTGTCCCTAATGTTCTAGGAGCTTGGACACCAACTTCAACCTCAAAACCATGAAGGTAAGTGTGACAAGCGTTGGTGACATATGTCCTTTAGACAACCAAGATTCTGGGAAGCGTCAGGACGGTTCCCAGGGGAGGCCAGGCTGTCCCCAACCATAATCCTTCCCTGGCCCTCTCGTTCCCTTTAAGCAGGGCCGGGGAACCTTTGGCTGGCGCCATTTGGATACTTCAATGTCACTCATGGGCCATATCTTCCAGGCCAACAGGCCATGGGCAGCCCATGAGAAGCGTCTGAATCTGCCCATCGGAAACCAGGGCTGACACCACGATGGTGTCAATGGTCCCCCGCCCCCCATGCTAAAGGATGTCCCATGGCCGCGGGACCACCCCAGAGTTGTGACGCTGCCTCTTTTCTCTCTGACCAGGCCAGTCTCCCAGGAGAAGACCCCCGGCTCGTCATGTTCTACAAATACTCCCCGCAGGTGTGTCCCGAGTGGTGCCCCCCAACCTGGGGGGCTGCAGTGGGTGTCCTCCAGGGCTCCCGCATCAGCCTCTCTACAGATCTGCTTATCAAACAGCGGCGAGTTGCGGGTGACAATTTGGGGTGGCGTGCCAAACGTAGAGGGAGCCGCGGATGGCGGGTTGGGGTGGGGTGGGCAGGGCGCTTCATGCGCTCCGGGTGGGAGATGAGCAATTAGTCAGTGCTCCTTGTAATCCTTCCTTCTTCTCCCGCTCCTGCCATTCCCCCCGCCCCCGCCCCCCCCCCCCCCGAGCCTTGGCGGCATGCCCCGAGAGCTGGCCGCCTTCCGAGCGCACCGTGGGCGCGCGAGGGATCTTCTTAATGGCTTGATAAACCGTTCGAAAGAACTCCTTGACTTGTCAAGGTGCAGACGGCTGCCAAGGGCCACGCACGACGCGCCTTTCACTGCTAATAGCTGCGGAGTGGGGACCAGAGGGGGCTAGAGATGGTCACGCTCGGCTGGCCAAGGACAGGAAGGAAGGAAGGAAGCCAGACGCCCAGAGCACCAGGCTGCCAGCACGCAGCCCAGTGGCGGATGACTCAGGCAGCCCGTGCAAGAATGAAAACAAATAAACAAATGAGGAGTGAAGGGAGGGTGTCGGGAGGGGACCAGCATGGAGCACTCTGCAGGGACCCCCTTAAATCCATGCCAGCCCCACGCACACCCCCAGCTGGCGCTTGCCGCTGAGATGATGATCCCTGGTCTGTGAAAATGAGGGGACATCTGAGACCTGTCTTGTCCCCAGCCCTGTGGCAGAGAAACAGTCATGCATCAACTTTTAAGGGATCAGACGATTAGGGTCCCCAGGCAGGGCTGCCGCTGCTGAGAGGGGTCAGCGGGCCGGAAGGAGGACTGAGATCGGGCTTCCTCCCAGGCGGGTGGCACGTGTCCCTGTGACGTGAAGGCCCCGGCCGCCTGAAGTGGGAGTCACATGGTCCCTAATTAGGACGTCCCCAAACCACAACCAAACGTGCCCCAGAGGTGGCCACTAACATGGGCAGCCTTGGAGGGACCAGAGGAAGACCCAGGCACTGCCTGACGCCACGGAGAGTGGTTGGGACGAAGCACTCAGTCAGATCCTGCCTCACGTCCCTCGGCTGACGCCCTAGTGGCCAACACCTTTCCACAGCCTGTCCAACCATAATCATAAGAGGGTCCTGCCTTTCCTCGGGGGCCCTTTCCTGAGCCCTGTGAACAGTGTTTACTCCTGCCACCTCTGGGGACTCGTGGCCCCACATAGGCCGCAGGGAGCACTCCCAGGAGGGAGCCTGGAGGAAGGGCCGACCCGCTCTCCTTCCTCCCACCTCACAGACATGGACAGTGCCTGCTTGGTGCCGCTCAGCTTCTTGGTTTCTGGCACTGTGGGTCTGGGTAACCTTTCTCTGCCCTTGTCACTGCTGAGGTGGCGATGGCTGCATGTGCCTGGTTGGGGATGCTCCGTAGTGCTCCCGTCAGATGGGGTGCTCCCCTGATGCTCCCTCAGGTGGGGTGCTCCCTCGAGTGGGGTGCTCCCATCAGGTGGGTTGCTCCCCTGGTATTCCCATCAGATGGGGTGCTCCCCCGTGCTCCCATAGAATGCGGTGCTCCCCAGTGCTCCTATCAGATGGGGTGCTGCCCTGATGCTCCTGTCAGATGGGGTGCTCCTCTGGTGTTCCCATCAGATGGGATGCTCCCCTGATATTCCCATTAGATAGAGTGCTCCCTGGCGTTCCCGTCAGATGGGGTTCTCCCCTGGTGCTCCCTCAGGTGGGGTGCTCCCTCAGATGGGGTGCTCCCATCAGGTGGGTTGCTCCCTTGTCACTCCCGTCAGATGGGGTGCTCCGTGACACTCCCATTGGACGGGGTGCTCCCTGGTGCTCCCGTCAGATGGGGTGCTCCTATCAGATGGGGTGCTCCCATCAAATGGGGTACTCCCTTGTGCTCCCGTCAGATGGGTTGCTCCCCTGGTGCTCCCGTCAGATGGGGTGCTCCTTGGTGTTCCCTCAGGTGGGGTGCTCCCATCAGGTGGGTTGCTCCCCTGTCACTCCCGTCAGATTGGGTGCTCCCTGACGCGCCCATTGAACGGGGTGCTCCCTAGTGCTCCCGTCATATGGGAGTGCTCACACTCACTCTTGGTCACCGGCTGAGCTTTGTGCTCTGGCGCTTGCTCCTCACTCGCTGGGATCCACCCTCTGACTCGGGCACGTGGGCTCTGGGTGGGGCTGGCCAGGTGGCGCCCAGCTGCTGGGCCCCAGACAGCAGAGCTCAGGGCATGCGAGGCGTCGAGGGTTCAAACCTGCAACCCGGCATCTGCTCTTCCTCTGGGCGCATGAGCTCCTTGACCCCATGTGTGTTGGTCCTGTCCGGGCTCTCTCAGGCCGGGCACAGGATTCATGCCCCAGGCTAGCTGGGACGCTGCAAACTCTGGGATTCCCTGGAGGGGGCCTCATGGGGGGAGGGGGAGTATCGCCCTTCTGCAGGACCCCGATACCACGGGGGCACTGTGGGGGGGTCCCCAGGCTCCCCGCCAGTCACCAAATGGACCCCCAAGAAATGCCTTCTCCCTGGTCCCCCACTGTCCCTTCCGGCTGGGGGGCTCTCGTGAGACCCCAGCCTCCCAGACCGACCAGAGGAGCCACTGACGCACACAAGCTTGTATCCAGGACCTCTCATGAGGGCGTGACCCCAGCCGCCCCGTGTCCCTGACAGGCTGTCCCCGTCCTGGGAGCAGGACCTGAAGCCCAGTCAGAGAAGCATCTCCCAGCACCACCGGGTCCCCTCTGGCCCCTCCATGTGGCCCCCTATGACTTCCCACCTCCTCTGGCACTGTAGCCCCCCGAGGAGGGCACACGCAGTCCCCGGGGCCCGACATTCAGCCCAGACAAGATGACATGCGTGGTGGCAGCTGCTCGGGGCTCGGAGTCCAGGGTGCCCGGGCACCGGACCCTGAGGCCACTCCTCTCGCTTCTTTCTGGGCAGGGACTAGACATGGAGCCCACAGAGCTGCAGAAACTTCTGAACCACGAGCTCCTGAGAGGTGAGCTCGGACCCAGGGCCAGCCCCGCACCTTAGCCCTGCACCCCCTCCCCTCGATCCCCCCACTGCTGACTGCCCCCAGCACCTCAGCACCCCGTGTCTCCCCCAGGGATCTCAGGGGACCTGTTCTCTCTGGACCAGTGCCGGGGCATTGTGGCCCTGATGGACGTATCCTTTCCAGTGGCCCCCATCTCTGTCACTGCTCTGACACCCTGACGCAGGCAGCCCCCGGGATCTCGGAGGTCTCGGGCTTTTGTCACCCACAGTATTTCCTCTCCCTGATCCTGTGCCCCACCCCCCACCCCCCAACAGCCAGGTGCTAGGGGTTGGGCACTAACTCCCAGTAGTGAGCACAGTAGCGCCCCCTGGAGGCCACCTATGGTGCCAGAATCCCGGAGGGGCAGGGCTGCCCAGCTCAGGAAGGGGAGGCCCCCCTGCCGGTCCCCTCCCCAGCCTCCCCCAGCCTCCCCCTTCCTCAGAGACCAGCTCCTCCTTTCTGGTTCTCCGGGGGCCCTCGCTGCCCTAGGCCCAGAAGAAAGGCCACCTGCCGGCCTCTGGGGCTGTCCCCATACCTGGCCCACTCACAGGCACTGACCCAAGGGCCACCTGCCCCTCCCGCCCCTCCCATTGCACTCTCTCCCTCCCCCGGGGACAGGTCACACCATGCCCATCTCCGGCTGTCCACTGCCCTGTGAGCAAACCGCAGGGACCCCAAGCATCGCCCCACTAGCTGGCATGGAGCCCACCCCCCCCCAATGCAGCCAGCAGCCAGGGGACCCCACGCAACACTGCCTCGGTCACTCTTAACTGCCCACCAGGTGAAAGTCAACGGCCGGCTCGACCCCGAGGAATTTTCCAGACTGTGGAGCCGGTTGGTCCACTGCCAGGTATACGGACATGGCCCCTGGCCTCTCTGGCCTCCCGCCAGGCCAGTCAGAGGGTGTTGGAGGAGCCTCTCCTGCCTCCCCCCTGCTCTCTCATCTCTCTGCGGCCCTCTCCCTCACCCTCATCCTCACGCCCTCCCTGTCCACCAGCAGGAAGCGGTGGTCAGGGACAGACGCCCCAGGGACTCTTAGCTGGGCGGGCGCTGAGCGCTTCCCGCACCCTCTCCCTCCCTCCCCTGCAAGGCTCCCCACTTCCTGCGGGTTGGGCTTGCAGGTACCCACTCAGCCTGAGGCCAGCAGGGGGCGCTCCGCTTGGGGGGGTTGAGAGGGGGGTCTTGCCAGGGCCTCCTGGAAAGCAGAGAGCGTTCCTGCCGGGCTGCCGGGAATCAGGGGTCTTGCAGGACCCGTGAGACTCACACCCACCCCTCCCTTAGACTGGGGGCCACTCTGGGAAGTGCTCTCCTCCTCCTCCTCGGGGAGAGAATCCATTCCTCTGGCCTTCCAGGGCGACCCAGCCCCAGTAGGCGCCAAACTGAGGCACACACATGCCAGGGCTGGGGACTTGTAGGGGGGAGGCATGAGGGTGAACCCGAGGGCACCCCAGACCATGCTTCTCCCCCAAACCATATCAGGCTGGTCCTTCCCACCCCATTCCACACGTCCCACGTTCAGATCCCAGCTCTGTGGGCCGGGGGCGGGGGGGCAAGGTGAAAGGTGGGTCTCCCTGTGGCCACACCAGAGCACTGTTGACACTAGGTGCTCCCTGACGGAGCACTTCACAGCATTAACTTATTGGCTGCTTGCAAACAAGCTACGAGGTACAGGGCTGTACTCAGCCCTGCTCCGCAGATAAGCAAACTGAGGCCGGGAGAAGGGGTGGGGGAGGCACAAGATATGCCCAGAGCTACCCAGAGGGGAGAGTCCAAAGGGGTGAAGGCCAGCAGGGTGGGGATCCGGGCAGGTGACCATCACGGGGCTCCATCAGGGCTCAGAGAGGGGCTGTGGGGGAGAGCAGGTCAGAGAGAGGCCCCCTGCGCAGAGGCAGGAGAAGCCCCTCACAGAGCCCCCCGCCCCCGGAGTGTCAGTGGGACCACCGCCAGCTGGAGAGGGGCTTCCTGGGCCTCCCCCACCCTCCTCCGGGACTCAAGGGCTCTTTGCTTCCTTTCACGTATCAGAGCGTCTTCCAGAACTTTCAGAGGAACTCTGGCGTCTTCCTGAGCTCAGACTTGGGGAGGGCCATAAAGAGCACAGGTAAGGCGGGGTCTGGGGCCCAGAGGGTTGGGGCAGCAGTGGGGGGTGATGCCCCAAGAATGAGGGCTCCAGGGTGCATGCCAGGGGTTAGGCCGGTACAGCGGTGCGAGCTGGAGGTCAGGCTGGTGCAGGGGTGTGTGTGCTGGAGGTTGGTGCAGGGGTGTGTGCTGGGGGTCATGGTGGTTCAGGGGTGTGTGCTGGGGTCAGGCTGGGGCAGGGATGTGTGCTGAGGGTCAGGCTGGTGCAGGGGTGTGTGTGTGCTGGAGGTCACAGGGGTGCAGGGGTGTATGCTGAGGGTTAGGCTGGTGCAGGAGTGTGTGCTGGGGGTCAGGCTGGTGTGTGTGTGTGTGTGTGTTTGTGTGTGTGTGTGTGTGTGCTGGAGGTTGGTGCAGGGGTGTGTGCTGGGGGTCAGGCTGGTGGGGGTGTGTGTGCCGGGGGAAGGTGCAGGGTGCAGGAGCGAGTCCAGACATTTCTGGCTCAGGATAGCCGGGGTAGGGCTGGAGAACATTCAGTTCTTCCTGGTTTCCCTGGGGGCCATTGCTCCTGGTCAGAGAACCTGTCAGAAGGGCAAACATTAAAGCCCCTAGAAACAGGAAGAGAAAAATCGGAACTCAATGCAGCGGGGACCAGGTGGCACTGTTCTGGGGAGCGGGGGGTGGAGAGGATCTAAGTCAGGAGGAGTGTGGCCTGGGGGTGACCCTGGCGGGCCTGCTGGCCACCATCCGTGAAGCTTACTGGGAGGGAAGCCAGAGTGTCTCTGCTGTGGGCTGTGCCCTGGCCCCTCCCCTGCGTTGGTGCCTCTGGGCTCATCACTGGACGTGGGGAGGATAAACACAAAGCGGGCTGCGCGCCCCACCCTGCCCGACTTTGGACCCAGCTTTCTCCTGAGGGCAGCCCCCACCCAGAGACTCCCACGTGGCAGGTTGCCAAGAGACCCCCAGAGACGAGTCAGGACCCGGCAGGGAGGCCAGGACACTCCCCCAGCCCACACGGAGTTCTGGCAACTGGGAAGGTTCAGGGGCTCCCCAGGGTGGGCAAACGCTGTCTGGGGCGCTCCCATCAGCAAGAGGAAGGGCGACGAGCCCCCTGGACACGGCCCCTCGGGCATGGGCCCCTCCAGACCTGACGCTCACACGCGGGTCCGGGGCCCAGAATTCCTCGCAGGCGTCTCAATGCACAGTGACCTGCTGGAGCTCATGACACTGCGCTATGGGGACAGCTCCGGCACGGTCACCTTCCCCAGCCTGGTCTGCTTCCTGATGCGACTTGAGGCCATGGCAAGTAAGTGACCTCTGGGATGTTCTGGAAGCCATCACAATCATTGAGGCACCGCAGAGGACTCTGCAATGTCAGTGGGGTTCAGGGTCTCAGCATCGGGGTCCCCTGAGGTCCCCGAGAGGCTGTGAGTGGCGGTTGCGCTTTGGGAGGGGACCCAGCCCTCCCTCTCTGCCTTCTCCCCGCACGTTCCCACCTGCACGCCCTGGTGGAGGCTGATTTTGTTTATCTGCTTGGACCCAGACCCGCTCCTGGCTTGTGCAGGCGGGTCACTCTGCCTTCGCTCCAGACCCTTGAGCTAACTCCCCGGCACTAGACAAATTTAAACCCCTGGGTGTTGGGGAACAGTTTCTCCCCAACATGCCTGGACACGTTGCACACCAGGTCCAGGCAGATGCGGGGAGAAGGATGACGGGCACGCGGAGAAACCACTCTGGGAGTAGCTGATGGCCGCTCACTTTCTTGCCAAATACACAAGGATTTTATAGGGGGTCTTGGCTGTAGGGGATGGTCCAATCACATGAAGTTTAGCATTACTGGCCTATCACCTTTCCACCTCTGGTTTGCCCTGGCCCAATTCCAATCAGGGCTAGATGCTGCAGTTAGGAATGACTCGCTAAACATAGGTGACAATTCTTGGGGGGTTGGTTGAGACTCAAGGCCAGATACCTGGTGCTTGTAAAATGCACCCAGACACTCCCTACTGGGTCACCATGCAGGGACAGGTCTTATTTGCTATGCAGGGACAGATCTTATCTTGCCTGCTCCACAAATGGGCCCCCTTCGGGCCTGGTTCTGGCAGGACCTACTCATTAGTCATGCAAGGAATAATAATGATTTGGGTCTCTGCAGAAAGAACTGTGCCCTAGTGACAGTAGATAGGGCAGGTGGGGAGGAGGGGTCTCACCCAAGGCTGCAAAAAATGACTCTGAGGATTAGAGGTCTAGTCACCTTTCAGCAGCAACACCCCCCCACAGAGAAATCATAGGGGAACCCGCAGTCTCACATAGCTCAAAATGGACATGTCACGATGGAGGGAGACATGGGGGGTCATACCCGTCTCATCTCTGCTCTACTCTACCATGAGGCATCCTCTGTAAGCCCTTTAGCGCCAAGCCCAGCAACGAATCACAGCAGAGAGCACGGAGTCTTGAGGAGAAGGGGAAACTGAGGCACGCACCACATCCTCAGCTGGAAAAGAGGGGTTCCCTAACTTTGCAACTCTGCAATGTCAGACACTGCAGGGACATGTGTGGCCATGACCACAGTCAAGTGCAAAGGGATGGAAGCTCCTGAAAGCTGAGGGTCGGGACAGGATAAGGAGCTGGACACCCACTTGTTTAGTTGATTTCCGATCGTTGACAATCTTAGGATTTCCAGCCATGGCTTCACTACATCTGTGCTCAGACTTCACCACACCCCAGCAGAGTTCCAGGACCAGACTTCAGCACAGTGACCCCCCTCCTACAACCCTTCCTGCCCCCACAAAACCATCCTAGTTTCCAGAGTCTATTTCACTGGAGTTCCCTCTTTTGTTTGTCTTGTTTCCACTTCCAAGTGAAACCAGCGGTAACTATCTCTCACTTCCTGATTTTCTCCACTGAACACAGTCACCTCCAGGGTCAGCCCTGTGAGTCCCAGAGGCGCGATGTCATCTTCCGCCCCCTAGAGTCAACTCATCCCAGCCTCCATCCCCAGTCCTCTGCCCCCGGTGAGGTTGAGTCTGTGTCTGGGCTCTTAGGAGTGTTGCTACAGGCAGAGTGGGTTTGAAGAGCTGCACCCCCAGTTGATGGTTGGGGAAGTGGGAGGTAGGACCAACTCCGGAGGGTGAGAGCCTTGTACCCATGGGTTTTTGCTCCCCAGACCCAGCCTGCCTCCTCTGACTTCTCTCCTCTTCCTTACCCTAGAGGCTTTCCAGAAGCTCTCCAAGGATGGGAAAGGAGTGTACCTGACAGAGATGCTGGTGAGATGGGCCCCCTTCCCAGAGAAACACCAAACCATCTGTCCTCTCCTGATGCCGGGAGCCTCTTTCTCCCTAAGGACATTGAAAAGAAGGTCCCGTCAGAGGCCAGCCACACTGCTGCCTCCGTGAGCCCATTGATTGCCTTCAGGGCCGGTGTCCAAGGCAGCCTCAGGATCTTAGAAAGCAGATTTTATTCTTTTTTTTCCCAATGGCTTGATAATAAAGCAGAGGATTCTATGGGAGTCATAAATCCAAGTGGGGACTGGAGCACACCCTGCTATGCCTGCCATCTTAAGGAAACTCACTCCCTTTGAGTTCTTGAAAGAGCTGCCTGGTCATCTGGTCGACCTCAGCTGCCCCTCTCCCAGTCAGGCTCATCAGGGAACAGCAGAAGCCAGGTTGCCAGGAAGCTGAGACCTCCACTTGGTAGAGAATTAGCTGTAAAATGTGGATGAGCTCTTCCAAGGGCAATGGGTACCCTTTGTCCTGCTCTGTAGGAAGCAAAATATTGTAAGATTGGTTTTGATAAGGATGCTTGTTCTGCAGTGGTTGAACCTGGTCATGTACAGCTGAGCATGGACAGAAGCTGATCCCAGAGTCCAGGTGAGACACGAAGGGGAGGAGTCTCCCTGCCCAGGGGAGAGTCACAGCCCCAAACTGAACGAGGGCAGGAGCTGATCCCAAAGTCCACATGGCAGCTCTAGAACCATCACCTCCTCTGGGCTGGTTCTCGAGCTCCAGGAACTGAACACCAAGCTCTCCCTAAGTCGGGTGACATCCTGGAGATCACAAAGCCTTCATCCGTGGGTGCTCAGGGTGGGAGCTGGGGGCCCTGAGAGTTGGGCTTTGCCACCCAGCAAAGCTATGCAGACCCAAGAGCATTCACCAAAGTTAGGAGGAAACAGGAGTCGTTTTTTTTTTTTTTAAATTAATCTTTAGAGACATACAAGTGAAAGTTGGTATCCTATAATGGTTTGATAATAGGCAGGAAATGCCAACTTGTTACCATAATAATTTCAGCTGACATCCAGTGCCCTGCAGAGCTTCAATGCTTTTGTGAGCTTTCGTGGAGAAACAGCTCAGGACTGAAACTAAGGCTACCGTGCTGGGTGTCCAGGCCCGGAACTCCTGTCCCGTTAACTGGGCATGGGATCTAGGGGCCACCCTGCCACTCCTTCCCCTTCGGCAATCATCAGGTCACTCTACACGGAGATATTCTAAATTTTGTCCGGGTGTTTTATCCTTTTGGTTGGTCTTGAGATAAACCCTGTCAGTGCGTTCACACTCCTGATTTTTCGTTTTTGACTTACTTCCCTTTAGACCCATCCAAATGGTCCTAACAGAGAATGTCCTTCCTCGTGGCTGAATGCTGTTCATGTGTCTGTGTGTGCATGCATGCGTGTTCGGTATAGCTCATTGTCATTGTTCATCTGCTCTTCACTGCACAGTTTTCTGCCCTATCTTAGCTATTGTGAATAGTGTCACAATAAATATTGCAGGTACGGCTCCCTTTTCAAGACAACAATTTCATTTCCTTCCGACAAATACCCAGAAGTGGAACTGCTGAGTCGTGTGGCAGTTCTATTTTTAATTTTTGAGGCACCTTCAAACTGTTTTCTGTAGATGCTGTGCCCATCAACAGGGGACAACGTTTCATTTTTCTTCACTTCCTTACGCATGCCTCAAATATAGGCTCGTGTGTGCGTGTGCATCAGTGTGCATGGGGTGGAGTGAGGGTATTGGACATCCAGGTATCACACCTGGATGTCCTCAGGGATTACTCCCTGCTTTGCAATCAGCAGTCACTCCTGGAGGACTCGGTGGACCGTATGCAGTGTTGGGCACCAAATACCAAACATACTGCATACCTAACAAGCACCTTAACCCCCTGTACTATATTTCTGGCCCTCAAGGATTTTTGTTTTATTTAGGGGTCACAGGACTTATTCCTGGCTCTGTGCTCAGAGATCACTCCTGGCAGGCTGGAGAATCATATGAGGTAGCAGGGGTTGAAGATGAGTCCACCAGATGCCAAGCAAGTGCCTCACCCATTATACTCCTGCCCCTTGGGTTTTTGATGGCGACCTCTCTAACAGGTCTGAGCTGTCAGCTCTGCGGTTTGGACTATCGTTTCTCAGATGGTCAGTGATGTTTATTCTCTTTCCAGGCAACTTTGGCTATTTGTACTTTTTCCTGGAGGAAAAAAAGAGTCTACTCACTTTGTTCATTTTTTTTTCTTCAGTTGCCCCTTCCTTTTGTTGGTTGGTGTTGCTTGAGTGTACCAGGATTGAAGCTTAGTCTCTGTTTTGCTTTTCTAGAGTCTAGCATTGGATAGATCCTATAGTATCTGTCTTTCTCTTGGCTCTCCTTAGTTAGCAGAATACCCTAGAGGTCTACTCAGGTAGCCTCAAATGGCAATTTTCCCATCTTTTTAAATAGTATCCCATCGTGGGTGTTTATATATACATATCTGTGAGTGAATGCATTTACATATGTACATACACATGGTTTATCAGTCAATGAACGTGGTATGTTTTGAAATCTGAGTCCTGCAACTTGATTTTAATTTTCCGGACTGTGGATGATTCTGGGTTTCTTGCATCTTCAGATGGATTTCAAGGTCAGTTTGACAAATTCTCCAGAAGAAAAAGGCAGCTGTGATTTTTGTTATCAGTCACAACTTGGAGACTAAGTCCTTCCATTTCACGAGGCAAGGACTTTTGACCCACGAGCATGAGATGTTGCATCATTATTTTTAACTCATCCTTCATTTCTTAACTATGGTCTTCGGTGCAGAAGTTCAGCACTTCCTTTGCTGTACTTCTTCCCAAGTATTGTATTCTTTGGTAGGGGGTTGGATGTTTGGTGCATACTCTTGGCTCTGTGCTCAGGGATCACTTCTGGTAGACCTCAGGGGACTGTATGGAGCCCGGATATCAAATCTGTGTCAAGGACATGCAAGACCTGTGTATTCTCTCTTACTGTCTTATCCCTCTGGCCCCATTGTTGAATTCTTTGGGGGAGGGAGGGGCCACACCCAGCAATGTTCAGGGGTTACTCCTCACTCCTGGCAGTGCTTGAGAGACCATATGGAATGCCAGAGATCAAAGCCTGGGTCCTCCACGTGTAAGTCAAGCGCCTTGCCCACTGTACTATCTCTCTGGCCCTAATATTGTATTCTTTTTGATATTGTTATGAATTGTCGTCTTCATTTCAGTTTGAAACAGTGCATTGCAAATTGATAAAAAATAAAATTGATTTTTGTATATTGATCTTATATTTTCTTTTCACGGGGCCAAACTTGTTTGTTCTAATACATTTGGGGTTATTCTTCAGGGAGCTCTCGCAACGGAGATAGGTTTTTTCCTTTTTTTAACCAGTCTGGATACCTTTTATTTTATTTTATTTGTGGACTTACAAGTTGTTGTGCTTGGGTTTCAATTATACAATGATCGAGTCCCCATCCCTCCACCTGTGGCCATTCCCCACCTCCAATGCTCCCAGCATCCCTCCCACCCTCCATCCCCCCCCATCCCACCCTGCCTCTGTGGCAGGGCATTCCCTTTTGTTCTCTCTCTCCTTTTGGGTACTGTGGTTTGCAAAAGAAGCACTGAGTGGCAATCAGGGATGCCTTTTATTACTTCTTGGGGCCTAACTATCCTGGCTGGTGCCTTGCTGAGTAGAGGTGCAAAAGGCAGGCATTTGTTTGCGCCTGATCTTGAGCTCAGACAATCTCTTTCCCTTTTCAGCAAGATGGTAGCTGTGGGCTTTGTGAGAGTTCATGCATCACATTGAGCAAGTGGTCCCTCTGCTTGCAGTTTACCGAATCAACCGCTCCTAATGACTCGCCTGATACTTTGTATCCCCTGCTGGACTGTAAACTCAGCCTCTCCACCGCTGCCCTCTACTTAGGACCTAGCAAAGCATCTGGCAGAGAGGAACGACTCATAACCAAGTCCCCAGTGATGGAAAGAAATGTTCTTTCCCAGTTGTTTGTCATCCTTTGTTCGATCCTCAGCCCCGATTTTTGTAAATACTGTCTGAAACCCGATTCTTCCTGCGATGCCAGCTACTCCTCTATGTTCTCCCGCCCTTGGGGGTGAGTGGGGAACAGAGAATTAACGGGATCCCTTTCTCACCTCCTAACCCCAGGTCCTGTGTTCTGTACGTTGTCTGATCGATTGATCTGCTCGTATCCCTTGCAAAATCCTATTGACCTGAGATCGGATACAATGAAATTGTCCCATATCCCTTTGTTGGCTTCAACAAAGCGGAAGTTTCTTTCTCCACTCCTGGGTCAGCACAGAGACCCTTTGCCCACCCGCCTTGACCAGCCCCCACCCCAGAGGAGAATCGCCCTCCTCACTGCTTCTGTGCACGGTGCAGGAATTGAGTGGCTATCTGAGGGCTTCCAGACACCGTCCTGCAGAATCCAAAGCTGAATTCAGTTTCCAGTGGCTTCCTGCTCTGCAGGCCATGGCCTGCAATGGACTGTCCCAGCCCCTGTCATCTGCATGTGTCTCAGCAAAGGATGACGACAAGGACTGGCCACCTTTGGCCCTGGGCGGGCTCCTGGGCGTCTCTCCCACCCCACTGACCTGATGGGTGCTTTGGGGGAGCTGGGTCTCTCCTTTCGCCTCTGTGCTTGTGAGCGCCCCCTTGTGGGCACTCCCTGGACCGACTGTGATAATCAGGCACCTTTCATAAGGATAGCACAGCGGGGAGGGCGTTTGCCTTGCAAATGGGTTCAATCCCCGGCATCCCATATGGTCCCCCAAGCACCGCCAGGAGTAATTCCTGAGTGCAAATCCAGGAGTAACCCCTGAGCATTGCTGGGTGTGACCCAAAAAGCAAAAAAAAAAAAAAAAAAAAAAAAAAAGAATTCCAGCAGTTCTGGTTCCAGAACTAGAAGCCAGTTCTATATCACATTGCTTAATCATGAGAAATTAATCCGGGGTGGGGGTGGGGGTGAACGGGGTGGGGGGGCAGTGCTTGAAACTCCAACTGGTGAGTTTTGGAAGGATTATTAGGATAATGACACGGACTAAGCAATTTTTAAAAACGAGGTAATTATGCTCTGTAAGAACAAAGAGTTATGATGGGAAATGTGATTCTAAAGTCTTTCTTCACTCAGCAGTGCACAGTACATACATAATTATAATCAAATAAAAATTGGATATTGATTTAATAAGAAAAGGGATACAAATGGGTCCCCAAGGGGAGGGAGAGACGTCAGTGTGGAGCGAGCGCCCGGCTTTGTCTTCCATCCCCAAATGTCCAAAGGCGTTAGGACTGACAAGCTGGGGCCAGACTTCTAGCTTCCTCCCACACCACAGCACCGATCAACGCCCCTGACCAGCCCCGGGCTAAGCGTGTGATTGAGCGTTTGTCTAGAACCCGCAGGACAGAGGGATGGAGGCTCAGAGAAGCCCCAGTGACTGGTTTGCTTTCACGCCCTGAATTCTATTTTTTTTTAATTTTTTTCACACCCTGAATTCTACCTGTAGTTTCCATTATGAATATCGGGCTGGATTTTTTTTTTTTACAGTTGTAGACTTACAAATTTTTGTGCT